AAATGCAACAGTTGAACTAGAGGCTATGTACGCTGGCAGCAAAACAAAATATATAATGTGAAAAAGATATTTTTACTTGGCACAGAAGGAAATTATTAAATCAAAGCATCGTAGCAACATAATTTAAAAATTAGGAAATTATCTCATAGTTACATTCATTTTAACTAATATTAAAATTAAAAGAAAAAGTGTTTTATTGCTGAAGAATTCCATGAGGTATGTTGTAAGTGTCTTAAAAATATTTATCCGCAATTTAGTTCAATAAAAAAACTGTAATATTGAGTTAATATAAAGCGTAGCTGTAGTATTTAATATTCATTTACTTTATAAGGTACCTACTACTAAAAGAAACTGTTTAAAGCAAATAATTATTAAATTTTAACTTTCGCTCCAATACTTTCAAGTTGATCCAATAACACTTACAAATTCCTAGCTTTTTATCAAAGCGATATTTAACCGAAAAAAGTCGAAAAAACTGAAAATGCTTAATGTTCACTTAACGGACATCATAAAATAACGATTATTCAACTACTGATTTTTGTTTTCACCGTTTGAATATTAGATTCAATTGGTTTGTTTCGTGTTTGATGTTAAAGTATCGTTACGATGAGTTAACATTTAATTCCTATGTATATGCTTTGATATGATATGTTGATCGTATAACAGCTGGATTTGCCAATTTTCTCTTAAATTCGTTAACGGCAAAACATTTTAATTAAATGGACGCATTAATCATACACCTGTTATATTTCGAAATTTGTAGTCGTATCAGATAACCACATTGCATCGGAACTCATTTTCAGGTGATAATAATGGATGAATTATTATGGAAAAAATAAAATCTGTGTATTTTTTTCAAAATTTCTATATAATATACCGTAAGTTACTTTCATCCTTTTATAAAAAAAAGGCTAGAAGCAATTTCTATGATTTAAAGATATTTTTAAACTCAATTTAGAAGCGAGATGAGCAGTGGACTAAAAATTAAAGGCTTCACACATAGAGTACAGCATACTGCGATTGGTAGAGATTGCGAATTAAAGGTCAGTGCACACCTCTAACCTCAGTTGCAGTAATTTTAAAATATAATTTATGTGTAATATGTATAACAATTTTTGTCTTTGATATATATACGTATATACATATAAGCTTTGGTGTGTTGGCGTTACAAAAAAACTGTACGGATTTTTATAGGTACTTTGTGTGATCTCAATTATTTCACATTCCTGCTTTCTCTTGTATTACAATATGTTTAAGTTTAAACTTCAATATATTTCCTCTAAAAATGTATGTAACTTGTACGATACAAAAACATGTTTTTCTAAACTAATTAGCTGATTTTATGTCAGGAAACCTACCTCTGCAAATCTCTTGGTCTTAAGCAGAAATTACTCACGATAACTGACTGTAATCGCAGGAAATCCGACTTGTAAAAAATTGTCCTACTTACAAACAATGTTGTTGCAAGAATGATTTCCGGATAAGGTGAATATTTAATTTGGAATACACGAAAAAAAGTTGGAGTGTAAACTGTAATCCGTGAACACAGTAAAGTGTGAAATACCTTATAATGTTTCTTTGTTTTCGCAAACGATGATGACATACTTCATAATTTCACCAGCATCTTTTCATGCGACAAATATTCTTGAGAAGGAAAAAAAATTAAAACTATAATTAATTATCACGAATAAGTGATTACCCGTATATTTCTTTTTCAAACCTTAATCTTTAATCTTATGCTACATGATCTCGTGAAATTCAAGCGGCTTCTTATTAATTTAAATTTTATTATTATCTGCTTCTTTACTTGAAATTAGATTTATTTCTGCGAAATTGCTGAGCAAAAATATTTGAAATTATATAAAATAAAAGTATTTTAATAATATTAGATACTGTTTGATTTATCTTATACTTGTTTCTTTCAAATATATCAAAAATGCTCATCACATTTGAACAGTTTTATGTAAATTGATATTCGTTTAATAATAATATATAGACGGCAATATTAATATAAGAATGACTTTTTGAAAGTAGCCCAAATAAAATGGTTTCATTTGTTAAATACAATATATAGGACTTAAAATAGGAATGTTTGTACGAGAATGAAATTATTTAAGAAACCTGACTAAAATATTCAATAAACTATTAATAACATTAGCTTTGGCAAACAGGTTTCTCCAAACTTTTTATTAACAATCGGTGTGGATTTAATTCAAATACATGACGCCAACTTAACATGTAATGTTCAACGAAGTCGTGTCCGGATTTTTCATTAACGGAATACGGTAAGATTCTAAATATTATTAAATATTGGAAGAATTGGAAAAACTTAATTTTGCGGGCTCAGTTTTGTTAACCTGAAATTAAATTTATGTTGACCTTCACAATAATTGTAAACAATGTTTACTTTTCATGTTTCGCGCCTAAAGGGTTAAATAAGGACACTCTAGGAATGTAAAAACTCAATGGCATTTGGAACTGTTTAGAGATATTTTACTAACTCACGAAATCTTCATACGAAAAGTATGTGAGTGAATTAATCTGTTAATGGAAATTCGAAGTTTATAAACAGTATGCCATTTTTTTCATTAAAGAATGATCGGATAAGAAAAAATTGTTTAAGTTTTGTGTACTGTTTTTATATAAGGACTTTCTTCCACACTGGAAAGGAAAATTTTTTAAGGAAATATCCCCGTGCACTACGATGAGTTAATTTTGCAAATTTAATGTGCCTAACAAGGTCCTTGTGTTTGTGTTCTGTGTATAGTACACAGTTCTGCTATGTATATTGACAAATCTTGTAGATAGCTGCCTAGAAACTACGTATATCTACCAGCAAATATATACAGTTAACTATAAATATATGTAAATATATCTTCAAGTAGAATTTATTTGTAAAGTACAATAATTGTATGTTATAATCAATAAACCCAATACATACTTTCTTTCTTAGATACAATGTGCACTTTTCCGTATTATTGTTTTAACAAAAGGTGATGGAGAAATGAAAACTATTTCTTTTGTTCGTACTAATAAACTAGTGATTTTTAATAATGTCTAATTAATCTGCATTTCAAGTAATCTTTCATAATTATATGTTGTCAATGTGTCATTTTAGGAATTTATTATCTATATTATATATTTCTTTTAACATTTTAAACCAAGAGGCGACACTGTGGTGTGAAGGGAAAAATAAAACATAAAGCTATTTAAATGGCAATCCCACGCGTACCAGATGGGTAATCAACAGGAAACATTTTAGCTTCTGGTCTTGCTACAGATTTCATCTCCAATATCGATCAAACTTAATGAATGTGTATTCCCATTAATTAAAAAGCCTGATCCTGTTTTCGTATTATATACAAGATATTTTACGGGAAGTCAAAAACGATTTGTTTCTAACGCTGCTATCAATTTTAATTTGGACATTTAATGATAAATAATCCGATAGAGACACAGTAGGAGGAAATAAGTATTCAAATTATTTCTACATCATTAAATAATAGGAATTGTTTAATGTTGTTATATTTTTCAACCGTCTTTATTACTATTTTCTACAGAAACCTTCAACATCGTCAACATCGCGAATGTTCTTTCAAACTGAATACGAGTCGTGAGTTACTTATATATACTGTTTCCTAACTAAAAACTGAATAAGAATTTTACCAAAACTGTTCAAGATTCATTCAATTCATTAAAGTTTTACCGATGATAATGAAACAATAATTACTAATATGAAAAAAAAATTGAGCATTTGCTCAAAATAGGTGATAGAAGCATTTACTTTTAGGAAAAGGTAGGAGTAAAAGCAAAACTTTTACTTAGAATCACATTCTTAATTTTCTCAAAGCAACTAAACAGCAATAAGTTTTTGGTCCAAATTGCTATGGATCAATGAAACTTCATATTGGTTTGCTAGCATTGCTAGCAGGTGTCAAACTTTTGTTGGATATTTTCTAAACGTTCGATATATTTAAGAAATTGAGGATTCCACACTAAAGTTACAAACTCAATATGAGATCGGACCATGGAATTATATAATACAATATGACATTTATTAATATTCAAGAACAATTTGTTATAGTTACAATAATTGGCGAAACGGTTGACATAAGATTGAATATTGAGACAATCAGCAATAGATAAATTCTTGAGAATTTAGCGAAAACAGGAGCCAATATCATTAATAAACAAAGAAAAGAGCAATGGTCTCAGATGAGAGCCCTGCGGTATACCTGACGTAACGTGAACAAAATATGACGTAGAGTGATTGATTGAGACACATTGGGACCTATTAAATAGGTTTTTATCCATACTGGACTTAAGGCCCTACACCTATGTTCCCCATGTTATCTCCTGATCTCCCAAACAGTAAGATGCCATCCATTCCACATTTTTGTTGTTATGGATTTGTCTCCTTGTGTTCTTTATAATTTCTTGCAGGTATTTACATAAAAATCGCAGCATAATCTCTATAATTAACAGACAGTCGTATCACTGAATATTTACATACGATTAGAGTCTGCTCGAGTACCACTTCCAAAATGTTGAAGCAGTTGCTTTGTGTGAGTAGATGCTTGATTTTATTCACGTGAAATCGAGCATTTTATCTTAACATGGAGTCAAGGTTCTGCTTCGATTTTTATTCTTACAAAGATAAGTTTTTTCTTAGTAAAAGAATTACCAGAGTCCGTTAGAAGGTACATCAAAAAGCTTCTTTGAGACCTGTGAAAAAAATTTAAAAATTAATTAAACAAACCGTTGCACCAAAAGGATCAGACAAATGCAAAATAAAAAAACACATCACTATATACCGCACACTTTAAAAAGTTTCAAACCACATTAGTACCCATTCAAAAGTATTGGCGACATGATCGTAAAAATGTTCGTACTATCTCTCAGACCTGTACTCCAGGCCTGTATATTGAATAACCAAAGAAAACTTATGTCATGTGTACCCTGATGTAGACCTACTATTAATTTTTATTTTTCTGTTCCAGTTTCTAGCCGTGGTACTGGCAGTAATATGTACTGCAGATGCAGACACGCACCACTTAGATTTTGAAGCAGATTCCCACCAATCCAGCGGGGGTGGGGTAGACAACAAAAGTGGTGAGTAAATGTCGCATTACACAAACGTATCGCTTTAATTTTACTAAACCGTAGAAATCTGAATTGATTACAGCTGGTATTGTATTGCTTCAAAATCAGTTTTGCATCACACAGTTTTTTCTTTAAAATGAAAATGTGGCGAATTGAAAATATTACATCACTGTCGGTATAGTGGATTCGAGGAATCTGAAGAAAAAATTGTTTAGAGCAGTGAGGCTCTTTTTTCGATACGCAATTATTAATATTTTTATCGCATTTTAATTAGATCTTTTGGAACGACTTACACGATTCAGTTAGCTTGTATGAATAGGTACTTGTTTGCGGAATTTTTTGCTCCTAGATAAATGCAGTATTCTATTGGTAAATCTAGTGTAATATACAGGATGTTTCAGGTTTTCATCCGGAAACTTCACCTGGTGAGAGAACACATTATTTTAAGGAAAAACTTGATCAGAGCACTTCGCTTTGGAAACACAAAACTTGCAAATTCTTCAACCAGTGGTGGAATTACTGGAAGTAGATATCACTCGTAAAAATTAAAATACCTATGCGAGCTTTTTTTGACATCGCATTCTATTTTGGTTAAGAGCGTCCCGAAATGAAAGACTCGTGGCTAAATTTTACTTTAACTCTTTTATATTAAAACTTTTCCACTAATTGACGCAACAACTTAAAATTTTATAGACAATTATGTAATAAAAAATATGCTCTTGGTTGATTTTATAGATTACACTGTTTGGGAGTAAAATTTATAGAAACATGTTACATGCCAGGAGTATTAATTATTTAAAAACATTTTTAGAAAAATACTGAATTTGATAATTTATTATACTAATTAAAATAATAATACTTGATAAAACCCATAAACGAAGAATTTAAGACAGAGTATAAATAAGTAAATTGTGTTTTTCACTTTCCAATTACAAAGAACAATTTATTGTGCAATCTCGAACGATTTTGAGAGATATTTGAAGAAAAAGCTACTTCCTAGGATCCATTGTAATCTGCATAGAAGAGATTTCTTCTCCCAGTGCCTATATAAACTTTTTCTTTTATCCTTAGCCTTAAACTTACAGTTCCTATTTTCATATAAAACAGATACTTCCTCATTGCTTTACTTTCACTAAAAATATTTCACGTGAAAATGTTTCTGTCAGAAACTAATACAAATATCTGAATATGTTTTTCAATAAACTAAAATTCATAGGGAACCTGCTACGGTCATTAAATAAGTACCTAGTTTGCAAAAGTTTTGCTCATTCTTTACAAACTAACCACTAAGAAAGAAACCATTACATTCACCAACTTTTGGTTTTATTAAAATTTGTTTCGTTTATATCCCTGTAGTCTTGCCTGGATTGATTTGGTATTTAGAGTTTTACTTAAAATATCTATTTACCCATTTTAGCTTCGAAATCGAAATCGTGTATTAAAATGTATAATTTAATTTATAGGGAAAAAGTACAGTGACCATAAACACACCAAAAAATCCGGAAAGAGATCGAAACATAATGAGGTAAAGGGAAGAAAAGGGATTGACTATAAAGAACTTCAAAGTGTAGAAGATGAGGAAGGAGGCGGCAAGAAAACAAAATTTCACACTCAGGGTACCCACAAATCATATAAAAAGTCTGGTGGTGGTTCCGCTCAGGGTCTTAAATATGAAGAGAGCTCCGATCACAAGAAAAATAATCTTAAGAAGGTAAATATCTTACTTTTTTGTGTTGTGTTGGATATAATTTTAGTAGGAAACTCTATTCTTAAGTATGTACATGTATATTTTATTTCGATTTGGCTACATATTTTAAAATCATTCTGTACATATTTAAACATTCATTTATGTAAAAAAAAATAGTTTTTAACACACCCTTAGTTTTGAATAAATTCTAGATAATTAATTCGAATAAAAGCAATCCAAATTTGTTACAGACTTCCTATCTTTCATTGATTGATCAAGAGCTTGCAATTTGCAATAATTACAACATAATTAAAGTCGTATAAAAATTACACTGACAAATTTAAATAAAAATAAGCTTGTTATTAAAATACATACATGTTTCAATTTTTGGTCATTTTTCTGTAAAAACTGTTTTAGGTCAAATTAATATATCCAATAATGTTAAAATAAAATTAACACAGAAGTATAAAATTTAAAATCATAATATTCGACCTTCCTGACATACGTTCCGATAACTAAATTTCTCTTGTTTTAGGGATTCAGGGAAAAATATCACAAAGACGAAAAGAAAAATCACGACAGTTTTTTCAGCAATTCCCACAAGAGCGGTGAATATAAAGTATTTGGTAAGGGACACGAAAAACACTCAGCTAAAACCTCAGCGAAGAAACAAGGCAGTAGCCGTAAGGTAAGTGTTTATACAGGATGCCCCAAAACATGTTTCCCAGCTGGCAATGGCGTACAGAATGGCCAAAAATAAAATAACAGGCATCTATGCAAAATTCTTCAAAATCTTCCACGGCAGTAATATCCTATTAAAAAATAATTAAAACCTCATTACTACAATTTCAATTAAAAATAAATTATTCTCGCTCTCTCAATATTTTGAGAATTAATTATAACGATGCAAGAATCAAAATTGACATAACTAAATTCTTGGACCATAATCACTTCCTCAAATTTTTGGATAACTGTCACGATTTAAAAAGTCTTAGTCTTAGTTAATTTTGCCAAAAATTGAAAAAAAAAATTAAAAAGGAGTCTTTAATTTGTCTTTGTTTTGTATATGGTTTCGTTTCGTTCATATTTTAGTTAAACTAATTAAAAATCTTAGAAAATTATAAACTTAAAACGTGCTTTCCTTACCTATATTATCAGCACAATTGCAACATACATGAAATTCTATTAATTCACATAGTACATTATATGCCACTTTTCTACTTTCGATATTGTTTTAAGCTATTGAACCTTTACTTCATATATTGTTTTCGCTTATTTAGCTACCATTGAACGGAAATGATATAGTCATCCAAAAACTAGAACTGATATTTCACAGTATTGTGACATTTTTTGCTGTTTGCAACTAACTTTTAGCAATCATGACTAACTCCTTTTTTGTCATGATCTCTGTCTCATTCTATTAATTTGTGCAATGGGAATATTTTGTCGGCATCTCAAAGTAGTTTAATTTTGTTCTGTGATCTATCCTCCACAATATCGATATTACTAACTAAAGTCTTCAAAAAATGTAAATAAAATCATATTTTCTCTTTAACTCGCTCTTAGAAAAACACAGAAATGTTTAAGAAGTGTTAATTTTCTGATAGGGACACGTATTTATTTTCTTTTGACTTAAATATGAATCATTAAAGATATATCGAAACCTTGCTCAAATATTTGTTCTAAATTTGAAACAGAAGCACTGATATGTATTTTACTTTTTATTGTACCATAAATCCTGGAAACTCATAAAGTTAAAAATATCCGGAGTATGTGAAGTAAGTTATAAATAAATTTTAGCGAGTAGACTGAATGAGCTGTAGCCACTGAGACAGTATGACTGACTATACAAAGTAAATAAACAAAGAGTTTGAAATGATTTTATTTTTGGTATATTTATTATTGATTCCGCCGTCGCTTCACGAAAATATCGAGTGAATGGTTTACGTTTACCACGCTTTTTCATCTATTTGTAATTTTCACAATTTTTTCTAAATCTGTGTAATGATGAAATTTCAAGGTGTCTCAAAAACTGATGAAGATAGACAAGAAATAGTGACGAGATCATATGCAACTATTGAATTAGTCATCTACATTAATTTTCTTGATATTTTCAACCAACTTTGTATACTGCCAAACCTGATTATTTATCATTGAAACAGTTTTTTTATTCAATATTATTTTGTTATTAATAATTAATGTTTCTAATGCTTTGTTTTGTGTCCGTCTATGAAAATCGTGAAAGTATCTTCACTGATGTACAATTTTCTTTTGTAGAAAGGGAAGTCTGAAAGAGCTCACGCGAAATCAGCCAAAAAAGTTGGAGGCCACAGTGTAGTGGAGAAGAAAGGACATCAGCAGATCAAAGGATCTAAAGGCCAGCATAGCAAGGCAGCAAGTTCAGGGAAGAAAGGGGGAAACAGCGGTGGTAAACAGCACCAGTATGAGACTCGCACTCCAGACGGTCACAAATGACTTCGTTGAAATAATTAAATGGTACAACAAACATATCGCTAGAAATCCTAGCAGTGTTGATTATTTATTGTTATAATTGTATGTTTAATTGAAATTCAATATTTTTATATTACAATGAACTTATAGTTTATTGGTAGAAGTGTAAAATAAGTTTTAAGATTAGTTTAGGTAATAAAGATACTCTTTTTCCTACTCCAGATCTGCTTTTGTTTGTCCACACTTACAAAAAAATTGTTTGTTCGTAATTGAATGATTTATCTAAAAATGATTTATTTTTTATTATGTCCAATATCAAATAAGTGATACCAATTACCCACATCGCCTCTGAAAAATATTGTATATGCAATGCTAATGAATCCGGTGCACATGCATATGTAAATCAAGAGATCAAATGCGTCTTTGCGTTTTTAATATCAATCTTGGCAACAAAAGCTCTGCTGATGATCAATCAGTTTATTATTGCATACGACAGAACGGATGTATCTATATTTATTAGTAAAATGTAATAACATAATTAAAAAATAATAAGCAATTGGTATTGCAAATATAATAAAAATTTGGGCAAACAAACAAAACTCACTAGTTCATTTCTATAACTGGCAACACAACTACAGTAATTTGGATGTGAGAATAATTAATAACAAGATATTAAGAGATAAGTTGTTACAACTACAATTTGTTTATTTATTCCAAGTGGTAGAGATAGAAGAATATGTGGTATAGAAAATAAATAAATTACAATAATCGCGAAAAAACACTTTGTTTACCGCAAGAATCAAACAGTTCTTTTTTGCTTTCAGAATTCTTGACAGTAACCCTTTTGGCAATTTTTTTGCTGCAAGAGATTATTTATTTTAAATACCCATCTTTTTGGGGTAAAGAGTGTCAAACTGGAGAAATTTCGGATCGAATGACTCCCAAATACTCGCGTTGTGTGATTTGTAGTTGCATAGAACGTTGAAGAGATTACAGAAGTCGAACTAGTCGAACGTAGCTAAAGTAAAGAAGCTTTATGACATCCAAGCTTAAAAAATCACGATAGTTGCGAACTATAGATCCATATCCTCTATTAGCTTCGCAAACAACAGTATCAATATGATTATTAAATGATAGTTTTTCATCAAATCCAACGCCCAGGTTTCCAAATGTTCTCGATCTTGACAAAACGTCATTATCAATGCTGTAATTAAACATAATGCGATTGAACTTGTTGGAGAAAGACACGACATTACATTTTTCCGTATTTAACATTAGTCTGTTATTATTACACCAAGATTTTATATTAAGAAGGTTTCGTTGAAGCTGAATACAGTCATTAATGTTGCGAACTGAGCTGTATATATTCACATCATCGGCATAAGGAAGAAAATTTAGATCTAAGTTGTTAACTAAATCGTTAATGAATATAAGGAATAGTAAAGATCCAGAATGGAACCTTGAGGAACTCCTGATGTAGCGACATACTCAATCGATTTATACCCATATACCCATTAACTATATACTGTTCTCTGTTGTCTAAATAAGATTTGAAGAAATTCCTTAAGGCCCCTGATATGCCAAACATATCAAGCTTCTGGATTAAAATTGAGTGATCAAGCCTATCAAACGCCTTGCTGAAGTCCGTATATATGACATCAATTTGTAAATTATTGTCTATAAAATCGGCTATAAATTGCGTAATGCTGATCAAGTTAGTGACAGTATAACGTTCTCTCATAAAACCATGCTGACAGGGTGTCAACATATTAGAGATGTTATAATAAATACAGTCATGAAGTAATATTATAAAAACTTTCCAAAAATTACATATAATGGATGTAGGACGAAAATTAGTAATGCTAAATTAAACCCCACCACTGGGTTCCCGGAAGCCGACCCCTGCAAAGTGGCGCCAGGACCAGGGACTTCTGCCACCGACTACTAAGATACCTACGACCGACTTCAACCACAGGGCACTCTCCAGCAAACCCTCAAACCGTCAACATCACTTTTTCTACACAAGCTTAGTTTTCAATAAAAATAGTTTATTTGTACCGTTGAGAGAGCGTGGTATTCTTGCTGTAAAGCGAAAGCAACCCTCAACCCTTTTTAAAAATTGTACACACTTTTGAACGCTTCCACAAATCAGGTAACCGACACTCAGTTAGGCATAAGTTGAATAATTTTTTTAAGGGTCGAGAAAAAATCTGAGCACAGTCTCTTATCAGAAACGCCGGACCAGTAGTCTTTTTGGGTTTAATTAAATGGATTTAATAATATGTACGATATTATTAATGTTATTGCTGGAATATGAATTATTGCTGTTAGAAGATGACGGTAAATAAGATTTAGAGAAGAAATCTGCAAATGCATCAATAATATCAATTGCATTATCAACATGACGCCCATTACAATGCATAGACTGGGATATATTTGTAGAACCCTTTTTATTATGGTATGTATACCAAACGTGTCACGTTCCTTCTTCATTTTATTATAAAAATAGTCTATTTATTCTTCTTATCACTTGTTTAACAAATGTATGTATGTATTTAATTAAATAGTAATTTATTCATTGGTCGAAAATATTGATCTTACAAACCTTATTCTCTTTACCTTATATGTAAAATTATGCCAATCAATAAATTTCACTTAATTTCTAGTTAACAAAACATTAAACACTTATTTCTCTTGATAGAGTGATAAACAAATTTATATTCGATACAAACAACCAATTTCATGAAAGTTGTATGTCTAAATTATAACTCTTCGAACTAAAAAACCCGATGGTAACATATATTTAAATATCATAAATCACTCGAGGAAAATCTATTGAAATCAATGCTTCATAAACATTGTTTATGAATGAGCAAGCAATGCCGACTCTAAATTACACCACATTAGGGCTGAAGTTATATGAGGGCTCATGTATTATTCAATGTTTCGTGATGGCATGAAGCCTGCAAGGTAGGTAGGTACATATTATTATTTATTCGAAATGACATAGTTGTGCCCAAGAAAGACGTTAGTGTTCATACTGATTTTTTAAGATATGGATCGCCTGTTCTTTTTAATTTCCGTTACTTGTGTAGTTTCTCAGAATCCAGTTAAAATAGGTAAGTTACCAGTTTATTTTCTTACACTATTACTCACTGACAGAATAGAGTTTTTTATACTTATACACCTACATATTTATGATATTTAGTTATTATGGGTACTTCTAAATAATAATAATTTACCTTTTAGATTATAGCAAAGTAACAAAAATTGTTATAAAATACCATATTTACTTTTAACGTGCAGAATAAAGTAGAGAGGTTACAAACTTTAAAGATTGACTTCAAATGTCTTCAATGTAGGTAAATCAAACATTTTTTCCTAGAAGGATTCAAATCCTTTTAGTGTCTGAAATACAAGAATGGTTGAAGGTAGAAACAATCATGGCACAGCCTGCAGGACTAAATAGGAATCTAATGTTGCTTTGAGACGATCGAACTGTTTCTCCTGAAATTTAGGCATTTATATGTCCGTTTTCAGGGAAGGGGTGAATTTAATATCTAATAAATTTTATCGTATCTCCAAGACAATTTAACGAATTATACAAACTTATCAAACAATTTGATAAATATTGTATAGATTCAAACTCTGAACACTTTATCTCCATAACTACAATTAGATACTTACAGTTTTGATTTGTTGTTTTACCAAAAAAAATACATAATTAAGCAACACTGACTTCTATATCATTATCATTATTTCAGTTTTATTTCCCATATCACTTTTAAACAGTGGAAAAACGTAATTAAACTTAAGTAAATGGTTTGGCTTATTGGCTGAGTGAATGTAAAAGGGTAATAAGTACAAACATGACAAAAACTTAATAAGAAACAAAAATCATAATCACTTTTTATAACTATCAGTTAAAATTTACCAAGCCTGTATTATCGTATTCTTAGGAATAAGTGAGCTTTGGAAAGTGTTGACTTATTTTTGCTACAATTTTAAACCGGAGATCGAGATTAGCACTTACTTTTTGACATGTATTCTTAATTTTGCATAAAACAACTTCAAATTCAATTTAATTCAAATTCGCAAGGTCAGAAAAAGCTCTATTTTTTCTAATAAACTTTTATTAGATAAATTTTTCTGTATTACTTCCCATTTAAAAGTTGGTCCTAAAGAGTCTCAAAAGAAATTCCACCTAAAAATCAGATTAGCGGGGGAAGGATCAAGTAATCGTTGAAAAGTAATTGAATGTTTGTTGTTTAAAGTGCATAAATGTCATTAAGAATAAATAAAAGGATTAAACTCGATAATTCTTTAACACAGTTAAAACAAAAGATGATGATAACAATAACTAAATTTAAAAAATGAGGCAAACGCTTTCATACTGCATACATATTACAATCTATTATTTATATGACTTCCTCTCATTTCAAGAAACATGTCCAATCTTCGCCTGAGTCATTTCGTGTATTTTGTTCGAAATACTGTAACAGTCTAGCTGTATTAACATTGTTTCTTACCTTTCGGTCAATTACTTGATTTTTTCCGTATAGAAAATGCATCTTCATTTCGTCGCAAGGTCGCCTCCAATCTTGTAAAGGTTCTATGACAGACAAAATAGCTATCGTCATGCGCTATATTGTCTGTGGTTCTATGATCAGGAATGGGACGCTCTGGATACCTTTCTCGATATAACTCTACAGCTCCTTTTGAATTTTTTTGTGACTCGATGTAAATTAGAAACATCAACTTTTTCTGAATAAGAAAACATTTTGTAAGCACAAAAGTTATACGTTTGACGTTCGTATTGAGTAATGACAAGTACTTTGTGACATTTATGCATTTTATATTTAAACGAGAGGTAATACAGAGAAATTTCTCTAATAAAAGGTTATTAGAAAAAAGAGGAAAAAAATGTAGGTATGTTTCTGGAAAAAAATATAATTGATGATGTCATTAGTCGTCTCTGTCAATTCCCAATCCCATTGAAAATGGAGATTACAATCTTTAGTTTTCACTCTTGAAAAATGTTTGCATTGTCCTTGAGTATTGTCTTTTATTCATATTGTATTTCATATTAGTAAAATAAAAATATAGTATTCAACTTTCAGTTGCTTGCAATTATTATTTATTTATTAGGTACTTTTACGTTCCATGTCACTTTTAAATGATGGAAAAAGGTTATCAAACTCTGGTTTCACTGAATGTAAAAAGTAATAATACCAGTTATAACAAAAACTTTATTAAAAACAAAAATCACAAAAGTGCATTCAATACTTTTTACAATTGTCTATTTTATTCGTCTATTAGTTCAAATTCGTCAACCCTGTAGTTTCGCCGTCTCAAAAACAAATGAATTTTGAACAAGGCGACAATTATGACTATAACTCCTAATACGACACTTACGGCTACGCCTAACACTAAAAGCGCGTAACTTTCACCAGATAAGCCCTTGTTTCTTAAACCCTCCGAAACGACACTCTTTTCCGTGCTGCAATATATTCCTTCTACATTTTCCTGCTCATAATCGAATTGTTCGTTTATCGTGTAAGTAATATCTTTGTGTCGCAGGAATTTAATAATCTTATACAGGATGTCGCAGGATAAAATGTTCTCTTTTATGTTTAAAACCGTAAGTAGCGGCAGGTCGGATATAATTAGATCGTATTGAATATAATGCAATTGATTTCCTGCTATATCAAGTACGCTCAATTTTTTTAAAGGTTCAAGTACGGCATAATTCAACTCTTGCAGCAAGTTGTAGGAAATATTCAGAGTTTCTAAATTGCCCAATCCTTTGAATGTATAATTTGACGTGAAGTATTTAATTCTGTTGGAGGATAAGTCCAGATCTTTTAGATGAGTTAAGTTTTTGAAAAGAAGAGGCGGTAATCTTTCGATGCTGTTATTCCTTAAAGAAAGATGCGTTAAATTTATAAGACACTCAAATAAATAATCTATTAAAATAACGTTATTGCTCTCCAGATTTAACACCTCTAGGGCAGAAATTTTTTTAAATGTGTGTAGATGGATATTTCCAATTTTGTTATTAGCTAAAACTAACTCCTTCAACGATTTTGTATTATTGATGTTGTATAAACTACCAGCGTCTAACAAATTATTGGCTAAATTTAAGTATTCCAACATAGGTGTGTTGTTTAAACTAAAATAATTTAACTTATTACTACATAAATCTAAATATTTTAAATTTTTTTTGTTGCTAAATACTTTATCTTCGATATCACTTAATGCGTTATCATTAAGATGTATTTTCTCTATATTATGAAGCGAATTTAATTCTTTCTGTTTAATCCCAACCAACCTATTCCCTTCCAAATTTAACACCTTCAAATTTGATAAATCTGCCAGTGCAAACTCAATTCTGGAAATGTTATTATGACTTAAATCCAAAACTGTGAGTTTAAAAGAATTATCTGATACACTAAAATAGTCTCTTTTCTTCACGTCTAGGATATAATCTGCGTTATTCAAATTGAAATCCACAGTTTTTTCCGACTTCCTGCAATAAAAATGCACTTCCCTTAAATCGGATATAATGTTTCTCGATAAATTTAGGCCTCGTAAATCTCGAAGCTCGCACAGGGGCAGATTCTTCATGTCACTTATCCTGTTATTAGTGATTTGTAAATAATTTACACTAGGTAAGTTTTGGAAAGACCCCTCCTCAACCTCTTCCAGCTTATTGTTATCCAGTATCAACTCCTTCAATCGTGATAGACCTATAAACGTATATTTATTTATATAAAACTGCGTATTTATTATAATAAGGTGCTCCAGTCTCCTGAGATAGTTGAAAACCGGTTCCATTCTGGAAAATGTGAAAGTTGAGTTTTCCAAGTGAAGATACCGGATGTTGTGGACGTTGTCGAAAATATTTGCAGATACGTTGGTTAATGTAGCATTTCCTATGGTCAGGCTGATTTCGTTGGTGATGGTGATATTTTCAAGAAGATGAATGTATTCTTTGGTTAAACCTTGACAGATGACTTCGAAACCGTTCCCGTAGCTATCGTAATAATTGAATTCCTTGTCGCAGTGCAGGGCCTCGAGAACTCCAAAGAGAGCCATAATTATCAGTGTCCTCATTTTACCTGCAACAGATAAATAATAATAATATGATACTATGTTTATTCAGGAGTGGGATCTTGATTATCACCAATCGGAGAACGTACTAAAATAACTGAACCATGTACCAAACCAGTACTTTTGACTTAAGTTTATATATTTTTGAAAACTGGAAATACCTTGTATCTACCTTACGAAGCCCCAAAATAAAAGAATTTATATAACAAACTGGCGTTATTTTTTGTTCTGCTGACCCTCGAAGTTTGCTCATTTAAAACTGAATCACCCTGTATATACGTTACATCAAAATGCCATAGGAATTCCACTACCACCAGGTACAAACTATTTAATTTGTTTCTGTAAATAGAATATAATATGAAAGTAATTTCCTAGACAACACTTTGATTTTGCTCTACTAACAGAGAGGAGGAAAGTAGGGAAAGCTAAATAGGCTCGACTGTCGTTACAGTGATTTGGCTTGTACAGACTGAATCAGTCTTACATAAGAATAAAAAATATTTTAAAAGTAGAACAAAAAATGTAATTATATAACTATTGACTTATTAAAATTTCCTTTTTATTACCATAGTGGTAATGAATAAAACCAGAGCCTTATTATGGCAGTACAGACTTTCCTATTCCTTTATTCAATAATTCTAATAAAAAGAAGACATTAATGATGATGATAACAATAATAATAATAATAATAATAATAATAATAATAATAATAATAGCTGACAGAATTTCTTAAACAACTGGACATATGTACATTCATTAAGTAGGTGCAGAGTGAAAAGAATACTAATAATAATAAAATAAATAATGTAAAAATCACAATTGTACCAAAAGTCCTTCCATGTACCTACATAAAAATTTATACAGCAGGAAAGTATATTTTTCCAGTCTAATAAATTTGGCTTTGGATAGTGTTAATTTATTAACAACAGTAGTAGCAGAATTGCATTTGCAGTAAGAGAAACTGTTTCATTAAGGTTTAAAAAATTGGCAGCGTTCATGAAATAGAACAAATTAATACGCAAATGCCACAAGGTTATTCGAACATTTACTTCAAATATTTTCACAGCAATTTACTTACTATCAATAATTAACAATTTATTAAGAAATTAATCTGAAGAACAAAGGAACTTTCTTTCTCAAATACATAAATATGTAAGGGGGTAATATATCGTCTTCCGGTATTTTTCCGGTAGAATGTCTTGTACATAAAAAAACAATAAATTTTATAGACTTTTTTCGGAAAATTGAAAATAAGTGCCCATCACTCCCCCCCCCCATCTCAGTTTTTTTTAAATCACCGAAAAACCACCCTTAAACACGAAAAATCCCACACTAGGGAGGTATAGCATTTGGAGCAATTGTAAAAAAAGGAATGGAAGTTATAGCAAGACCATATCTACAGTATGTCAGCGGATTGAGTTTACAAGAGGACAAATGGATCAAAAAGTGAAAGATACGAAAAAAAGGTATTCTTGATAAAAGTTTTTGACGTGCTAAAGCCGAATCCGAAGTTAAAATCAGTCAATCACCCTCCAGTACTTTTATATTGTGCAAAGTAACTTTAAAATCTGGGAAATTCCTTCCCCAAGATAGATAGTCCTTCCACCATTTGATGCCCGAAGAGAAATTAGGATATTCAAAGATGTGACCATCGTTTCCTGATAAGAAATGATGTTTGTTTTACTCCTTCTTCCTTTTGTAATGAACTGTTTTATCTTTAAACGATCTATGCAATGGATTTATTTTTCTTTTCTGTTTTAGACTCGTTTTCCCTTGTAAACCAATCTGATATATTAACATCCCACCTTCCTTGGTATCGATGTCCCATTTCCTTGATATCTTGATGAAACCATTCACCCTGTTCTTCGCTGAAATACCCGAGGTTATCCGGAAGTGGTCAAGATAAGGGTGTAATAAATGCAATATCAAGTTCATTAGACAACCCAACTGTTTGAAGTTTTCCAACAATTCCTCAACTAAATTCTCGTAATCCTCACCCTTCTGATTCCCAAAAAATGTTGAGTGACTTTCTTGAAACTTAACCATGCTGCTCTTTCAGTATCATTCATGTTTGTGATAAATTTTTTGTCTTTGAACACGGTACGGGTTTGAGGAATATTCTCTCCTAAATATCCAAAGTCACCATCTTTGTCCAAAGCTTTAACAAACTGTTTCATGAGACCAAGTTTGATTTGTAGAGGTGGAAGCAGAATATTTGTGAAAGATCAACTGAAGGTTCATAGTGATTCTTTTTGTCTATACTATGCCATAGACATAAGAAACAGGGATGAAATATGATGTTGCACTCCCTCTAGTTTTGAAAAATAGAATTTTCCATATTTTCTGTATTTAAGAGAGGAACACCACTTTTGCTTTTTTTGTGTATTAATCAAATCCCACATGTTGCTATCATTGTTTCATTGTATCATGTACATATTGTTTATTTTTACTCCAAAAAATGTTTGAAAAATGTTAATCTATAGATTATTGAAAAAAAAACATATTTGTTCTTAATTTTGAGTGTGAATTTTAAAAATTTTATAACATCGACCACCTATGCGTTGAAATGCCATACATACATTTCGAAACATTTTGCACAAAATAAGTAGTGCTATTATCAACAGTGTTATCAAAAGAAATAGTTTTAATGTTGTTTTAGGTGAAGGAAATAAACGAAGTGGAACTTTCATGAAAATATTTGAAAATTGAAATACGTTATCTTGTGAATATTCTAAATATTTTTAAACGACAACAGAATCAAAGTATTTGTTTTATGGAAATTATTTTAAATGTATTACATTTCAACGCATCATCGGTATTGTAAAATTTATTATTGTACTCCAAACTTTTTCTCGAAAAATGCTCCATTAATCAAAATTAAAATAAGATGTACCTTTTATCCTCTAATAGTATAATAGTGGTCAATATTTTGCAAAATTTTAAATAAGAATGAAACAGTAATAGTCACCCCTTTTGCGGCATGGAATTCGAATAATAAATTAGTGATACTCTGATTCTAAGTTTAAAATATGAATAAAGTATCTCGAAAGACTTTCAAGATATCGCAAAAAATACTATACTAGATCAAATTCATTTATTATTATTCATTTCAGATAGAGTTATATAAAAGGACACCCTTATTTTTAGTAAAAATACAGAGGACTACCCTGTACCAGTTTTCCATTCAAATGGAGTGTTTTGTGCGGTCTTGTATATTTTTTCTAAGCATCAATTCATCTGACACTCGGACAAAATTAAATCTTATAAAATTTTAAAAGATGTATGTAATGAACCATCGAGATATTCCATAGCAGAAGTAAACTATAGAAATCATACGTTAGTTTCTCTAAACAAAATATTAAATGGTTTCATCTAGACCATGAACAACCAATTTGTTTTTTGTTCGATGATTGCACCTATTTAGGCTATTTGTAAAAAAGTGTCAACTGCTGTTGTCTACTGATGTCATAGACAAGTTCAAGCGGATTAGTTAATTCAATTCTGCTGTGACAAGGTCAATAACGTGTTTCATATCCAATGGTAAAATCTTGTGTAAAATTTATTTGATTCTGTACCTACACAAAAGTATATTTAAGGATAATTTTCAAAAATATAACTTTACAAATTACACTGATTTTATATATATAAAATTAGTGTGTATCTAAAACCTTACTAAACGTTCCTCCGACCTAAATCCTCTTGATATACTGAAGACACATGATAATTAGTTTTCAGCATGATTACCATTTCATTTGAAACTTTAAAAGTTTGTATAATCTAAAAAATGGGACATCGTTTTAAGTCCTCTGCTGCTTTTTGAATTGTTTATCATAATGATCTAATGCGTTTCGAGAAACAGAGGATTCAGGTCTGCAAGGCGTTGTGGTTAACGCACATCATCCTCCCTATCCGACGATTTAGAAAACACTTGTTCACGAATTATTGACATTCGACAATTTGAAAAAAGTTGTTGGGTGTTGTATTAATACAAAATTATTTTCCAAATTGTAATATAAATTGGCACAATATCAAGAAGTAGCGTTTGCATTCAATTTTTAAAAGCAAATATCTCAAAAATCCTTAAAGATATGGATTCCAATGACAAGTCCAAACTATTATCTTTTCCATAAAAATGTTATGCGCCTTATTTTAAATTTAGATCTTTTAAAAATCGAAAAAAAAAACAACAAATTTTTACAATAGAAATTTCCCTTTCAACTAACATTCAAAAACAGATACAAAGTGGGTACACATTTTGTAGATAAAATCTAGTTAATCTTACCGCTGCTGGTGCTGTGACGTTATCTGTAACATGATATTTGAAATGTGATATATGTTCGCAATTGTTATAGTGACTAAAAAAATAAAAATTAACTCAAATGGACGCATGAATTACATCCAGCTATCCAATTAGGTACGTATTTAAATTGTTTTCAGAATTATAATTAGTATAATTACCTGTTTTTAAGCGTGCTTTAGGTATTAAGTATTCCAGGAAAACTTAACCCCTTTAACTTACAGCTAAATACAACGTACAAGAAACTGTTCTAGCAATTTAGCGCTAAAATTATTAAATTTGAAATATTATTTTAATAAAAACCTTGACATGATTTCAATTTCTGTACTAGCAAATACTTTTCTCATATACAGGGTGATTCACGGTGGCCAAAAATGAATCTTCGTATTCTTTCGTGAATTTTAAGGGGAGTCTCTCCTATAAAGTTTTTATCTAGGACGTTTCGTTAAAAAGATATAGGGTGTTAAATATTTTAATTTTTTTTTAATAATTTCAAAACTAGTAAGTGAAATAATTTGAAATTTGACACATGTATTTATGTAAACATTGTCCAAAATCTGAAGGCTTTTCCTAAAATCTGCATGCTCCAGTGGCGGAAATACAGGATATTAGTGGCATATTTTTCTAAATAAAATAGTACGACACTGATATACGGTAACAATCATGATAATTTTGGATTCGTCTTTCAATTTTCTACAAAAGCCAGATTTTCGAGTAAAACTTAAAAAACGAACTAAGAACACACTTCGATATTCGAGTACCTATAATGCTTTTTAAAATTACATAGTGGGCTGCTGCGATAACAACTTCGACATTCTGAGCAGTTAGAAGAAAGAATAAATAATGCTTTTCATCAGATTCAAGCAACAATAAATTTCGAACAAATTACATTTTCGTTACTAAACAGATGTCGGGCCTGTGTTCTTGCAAATGGAGGTATTTTTGAGCATTTACTCAAATAAAATCATTAAAATGATGACTAATGTTATAAATTTCTTTATTCGAATAAATAACCGAATGAGTGCTTGTCATGTCATTTAAGTAAAAGTGATTTCAGTTGGTTTTTTAAGTTTTACTCGAAAATCGGGATTTTTTCGAAAAACATAAAGAGTAGTAATTTGTAGACAATTGGAAGATGAATCTGAAAATATCATGGTTGTTACTGTAAAGCAGTGGCGTACTATTTTATTTAGAAAAATATGCCACAGATACCCTACTGGAACATGTAAATTTTAGGAAAAAGCCTCAGATTTTGTACAACGTTTACGTAAATATATGTGCCCAATTTCAAATTATTTCACTTACTAATTGTGAAATTATTTAAAAAAAAAATAAAAATATTTTTTGGAAATTAACACCCTGTATCTTTTTAAATTTAATTAAGTACATTATTACATTTGGATGGATATTACAATAAATCACACAGCAAATGTATAATTTTGTATTTAATTGAGTATAATTGTTGAAAATTAAATTTGAGATTATTTGAAAATATGCTAAAAATAGTTTTTTTTGTATCTTGTCACACTGCACATTAAAGGGGATATTTTAACTTATTTAATTTTACCTATTTTGAAATTTAATAAATAAAATAGAATCACTATACAGCAATATCCACACTTATTTGACCGCAAAATTTGATGCTTCTCCATATTTTTCTATTATTAATATTTAAAATGGAATCACAATCACTTAAAAATAATAGACTGTAGTAGAGACAAAATATTTTTGAAAGTTATATTAAAAATTATTTCCCCGCAATTTAAATTTACTGGAGCCAATATTAGCAAAAAAAGTCGAAAACACTTTGATCATATAGAAAAAGTAATGTTAAGTATGTTTATTGATGCACTTACAGTATTTCAAGTGACGACAATTCCATAATATTCCTGATGTTTAATAAAGCCACCACACATTGCGCGAAAATCAACGCACCATCTCATTAAAAGTTATGGTTACCACTATTCGGCAGCATACCTATCAACAGTATATTATTGTAAAATGCCGTTTCATTTACCGAGTGGCAAACTAGAACGTTTTCCTGGCGGTGTTGTATTTATCTCTGAGGCTTGTACACAATCAATCGTCGGACAAGGTTCTTGCACGAAATTAAAAATAATACACTTTCATTCCCTACCGTTTAAATGCAACGGAACAAAAAATGTGCTGTAAAAATTGTATATCCTAAGAACTATTTTGCTTGCCAGAGTGATGCAATTTTTAGTTTGAAACGCATGTAAGCGCGTGGTGATCCCACTTTTGACTTTAATGACCTCGAGAACTGAACGTGATGATGAACTTTAAAAAAAAACGCTATCTATTAACAAACTCTCTTTCTTTGATGGATATATAAGAAGGTACAGGACCCTCAGATATCCCAGTCAACATCGCGATGTAACGTAAAAAATTTACTGGAAAAGGTTTTGCATAATTCGAAATAACAGAGAAGCATAGGATTGGGAAGCTCTCTAAACGTACGAAACTGTATGTAAATGTAAAATAATACTTACATATTTGAATAATATGATATTTATTCACATGTAAAAAATGTTGAAAATACTTCCTAATAAGATCTACGCAAAATTTCCTACTAATTACAAAGTCGGCTTTACAATAATTATATTTACCCATCGTTCACAGAAGCACACGGCGCCATTATTTCTCTTTTTGGAATTTTGCACAGTGAAAAAATGTAAAAAACTAATTAAACAAACTCTTGCAGCAAAAGCAAGAAGACCTATCAACAGTTGTTTTTATGAAACTGTTTCAGCATAACCAAAAATCTTAAAAACCAAGACAGTTTCATTTTTGAAACGTCATCTTAGTGTATATTTTTTTTATTTTTATTATTTGTCTGCTATTTCAGTGCGAGATTTTTGGTTAGTCAAACATAGTTTCATAAAAACTAGGTACAGAAAAGTGCCCGATTGAAACTTTACATATCTTGAGGCTGCGAATTGTTAAGAAAAATAGATTTTTTTAAAAACAACATATTTTTTGTCTTTTTGTCATTGGTCTACTGTTTATCCACGGAACATAAGAAATAATCGAGAAAACATATTTTTAATGTTTAAAAAAGGTATAAATAATATCAACGAATTTAATGACAACATTAGTAATGATAGTACTAGCGATAATTGACAATAGTATGATATATTAACATACCTACACTATCAGTTATGTATTATTACCTTTGCTGTTTTACTATACTCACTAGTATTTGTAAAATACTCGGGTGTTTCACGTCAACGGGCACAGTGGGCTGCCCAGAATAAAAATGCATCAAGATTGACGTTCGACGTGTCAAAAGCTTCGTATTTAAAAATTCTATCGAATGCCGTCTGGTCATTTAAAAAAAACATCATGGCAGTTTCAATATGGCGTCCGCAATCATGGAAAATTCTGTTTAATGAGCAATATTGTAGACTGAAACGCCATATCTATACGTTTTTGGGGTTGCTGATTTCGAATTCAATATTCGTTAAACCCCATCTGGTCACTGTTCATCCCTAACCTTAAAAATACTTCAAATCGTTGAAATAATACGATTCTACGATGAATAACACACTCTAACCACCAAAATTTATGTTTTTGGGATCGCTGAAACCAATTCTGATACCAATATAACTTCAACTACTCAGAATTCGTGCCTAACCTCAAAAAAGTAGCGCAAATTGCTAAGATTACACTTTTCTACGTTTAGTAATGAAGTGTAACTAACATATCTTTATACTTTTGGGGTCACTGAATCGAATTCCTACATCTGTTTGAACCCAACTAGTCACTAGTCGGACTCGGACTTTACGCCCGACTCTGAAAATCGTTTTCATTTTGCTCAAATAGCTGGATCGTTATGAAAAAATGGGAATCGGGAGAAATAAATAAACCCTCGTCATGGAATTCGTTAATTTTGCTTCGCTTTTTTTATCTGTCATTTAATTTAGTAGTATGGTTTTGGTATTAGACACTATTTTAAAGTAAAAGTATTACATTATAATTATCATGTAAATCTTGGGACGACTAAATACATTGTAAAAGCAGCGAGTTCAGCTAATAGTTGAAATAGAGAGCAAATAATTTTTAATAATTTCGTTTCACATAGAACATAATTTTTATATGAAATTATATTATTTATACCTATAATTATTTGCATAGCTTCATCCTTCACTAATTTTACGTGCATATATATAAACATCTAACTTATTTATGTAATACATAATTATTTTGTGAAACACTCTGCCAATCATTAAAATTGTTCAAGCAATGAATTCAAAGGAAGTTGTTACTAAAATTGAAATATTAATTACTTTATTTTTATCCTATTCAAAATCTCATGTTTATACAGATAATAATGTAAGTACTTTAATAGCAAGTTAAAGGTGACTTATATATTTCCATATGACAGACTAGATACAGCTTCCGCTTCATTGTATTAAAAGAATAATTACAATATTTTTAATTTAGACAGAATATCTACTCATTTGGTCATTATTACCAGTCATGGTCAGTACCAATGGTCAATACCAAACTATTTACAATTTCTGACGATATGTCAAATAATATGGAAAACGAGCTGTAAACTGAAAGTTATATGTATATACAGACTGTAAAAACGCTGTCGATAGATTAGATGTTATTTCACTTGGGTTTAACAAAAATTAATTAAAATTTTCCGGGCCATATTTACATTATAGAGATGGAAATTAGATACACCATATTAGGAAGTCTATCATAGAATAGTCAGAATGTAATACTAAGTTTAGAGTTCCACAAGGCTCAGATTTAGGTCCTTTGTTGTTGATGTTGTCCATAAAGACGCTATATATCGATGCAGTACTAATAGCATTTTAATACTGTTAAATGTTTGATTATGCTTTGCAACGGGAGAGATAAAAATATTTATAGTTAAAAAATGGATGATAAAATGTTACTTAGAATTAAATTAAAAAGGAAAAAGATTTGGGAGTGCAGTATGATTACATATCTACATAAAACGCATATACAGTACATTGTTTCATATGCAGTAGCTTGAGCTACTTTAAAAAAATTGAAAAGGTTACAACTCTATGGCGTCCTCACTATCTATATTAGATTAGTAAACACAGCATAGAACAAGTTTTTGAGATATTCATGTTTGACAAAAACCATGAAAAAAGATTTGATGTTTCAATCTTAGGAAGTTCTTAGTCGTCTCATGAAACTATTTCTATCATCAGATTTGTTCTCAGTCTTATTATGTGCCTATTCTGTTTTACAAGATATGATAATATATGTATATGGGTATATTCACTTTTCTTTTTTTCCTATCTCAACTTTGCACTTAAAATAAAATTAAAATTAGTATAATCATTAACACTATAACTACTATAAATAAATACATATTAATTAATTTTTCTCGTACTATTCTCATTTATAATTAATATACATGTAAGTACTTTCAGCATAGAGATACACAATACGATTTTCTCTGAAAGAAAGTAACTTTTCACAATATTTTCAATAAACTGTCGACCTCAAATATAAAACTTTTGTAAGGCTCAGGTCACCAGGTTAATTTCATTGGTGGTCGCAACATTTATAAAACATCAAGTAAATAATGGATACTACAGTATAGGTATTGCCAACCATAGTAATCGTAAACATTTTCTTTTACAATATTGTTGTAATAAGAAGTAAAGTGGCAGAAAAATGTTTACCTAATTTGACCTAATATTTGTTGTAGCTACCTAGAAATTGCTGGCGATTAAAAAAAAGTACTAACATACATACATCTACAGGGTGATTCACAACTTATCCAAAAAAAATTGGGATTAGATGCGGCATGAGAAATGGAGTTAATAACGTAAAAAAAATTTTTGTAAAATCCTTATAGTTTCCGAGAAAAAAAATATTGAAGTTATAGTACATTCAACCACTACATAGCTGGACAACTGTAATCTCTAGCGTCATTCACAATACAATGGAGAGCCATGTGACTCCTAATACTGAAATCCGTCGTTGCGGTAGTTTTTACCTGTTATCTGTGGTGTTTACAACAGTTTTTTAGTAGTTAATGTCAAACATGGTTTGCGTGTATAGCAACTCAGAGTTGATGAATATCGTTTTAATTTATGGTGAAGCAAGACAACATTTGTATTATGGTGAAGCATTTGTGCTATGGTGAAGCAAGACATCATTTGTGATAGTTCGTAGAAAGTAAGACGGACCCAAATGTGTTTACACGTTAGTGGATAAAATTTTGAACAATTGTTGTAACATCGGGTATGTCAAATGATTTTATTATTTCTTTACAAAATTGTATTTGTAAGGGTCCCCTGTACATCCAGAATTTTTTTTTTTTGGATAAGTTCTGAATCACCCTGTATATTCCGAATATAATATTCGGATTGTTATAAAACAATCAGATCTGACAAAATGAAGTATTACCTACAGAATATATGATTCTAAGTTCAGATATAATTCAGATATAATATTTAATAATTATTGCTTACTTAAGTAACTTTATTGCTAAGTGGCAATAAAATCGGCAATCGACAATTTTTTAGGATTAAACAAAAACGTGTCCCAGTTCTGAAAACTGTAATTAATTATTTGTAATTTATGATAAATACTGATGGTGAAGGGTAAATAACAATGAGCAACCTGTGTACTATAAAAATACGTAAAATTTGTTTCTTGTAACTTCATCGAATAAGAATAATCACATAGTTCGAAATTTGATAGTCGCATTTTACAGATTGTGGTGACTAAACGTAGGTACCTATATAATTTCCATGTTTCGTCAAATTAATATCGAAAATGATTGCCTTTCTACAAAATATGATTATATTTCTTTAGAAATAGCAAATTTTTGCTATTTCTCTATATGCAATTACTTCAGTTGCAATGTTAAAGGCATATTGTTATACTAAATTTTATTTAAATCGGATAAAGCGTTATTTCATAGGTCTTAAATCCTTTGCGAATTATAACGCTTTTTATGCTAACGAAGCAACTTTAAACTGAAATAAGCTTAGTTAAATCACATCTATGACAGTTCCATCCTGTATAATAAATAGATTGATAATATTATATTAATGTTCTGAATAATTTGTTAAGAGTGAGAAGCAATCAATGAATGATATAAAAAATTTTTAATTACAAACCTGCATTTAAAAAAGCTATGGTTTTTGTCTCTGTATAATTATTAACTCGCTTATTTACAAGTTATAAAAGAGAATTATCAGATTTTTGAGTTATTTAAACATGGATTTTTATATACAAATCCAAGGATCTGGTGTATACACAATTCCTCTTACATGCATCAAAACATTGTAGACATACTTGTACGAGGTTAAAGAAGCACATTTAAAGAATAACAACGTACAAAAATAGTGAATCTAATTGCAAGTAATATCAGAATTCTAATGAGAGAGAAGATGTTTGCCAAGACTACAGAGAAACAACAGAAAATCAGAAACATCCAGATAGTTTCAACCGAGACGAAGACTTAGAAGTACTAGGAATTGGAAATCGATTCAATCCTAAGAATCTAGGTCTGGTATACTACAGTACCAGTAACTTCAGTACCATGCACCAGAATTCCATAAACCGAAAAACACAGACAAATATAAATATCGACCAGAAAGCTCCAGTTTCTCATCTGAAGAAGAGAGCGATATATCTCGAAACCACTGTTAAAATAATATACGAGTATGCTTGACGAAGTGACCGCAGTGTTTCTCCTAACACCATTATCTAATAGAAATACACGAGTAATTGTCTAATGCCTATTCTTAATTTATTGAAACTACTAAATCCAAATTATAAAGTATACAAATACTGGCATACCTGCCACTTGTCTTTTAAAGCTCTTTTCCTTTCCGTCACAAAAACAAAACAAAATACATTTCTTAAATACATCGATATAGCTTGTTTTCCTTCAACAGGTAATGACCTGAAATGTCGCCTTATTAAGTAGGTATTTTTTTAAATTAATATAACTTCGGTTGAAGGCCGAAATTAAAAACTAAACCCGATTTTCTACATATTCAATTATCTTTGGAGTACTACCTGTATCTTAAATTCCATACAATAATTATGATTATCATTTCCAGTTCTGTTGAAAGAAGAAGGGCAAGAGAGGATAGTAGAGTGGTATAACAAAGGTATTAGTACTTTGAACACCAACCTAAGGTTTGAAACTACCTTTATCGATATAATTGATGAGAAGGCAGACGTCGATAACAGTAAGTACCAATTAAAAAAAAAATTGGAATTGAAAGTGAAATATGAACGATATAACTATTTTGTTTCGTAATTCATGCGTTACCGCATCCTATTTTATGCAAGTAAAAATACCATGAAATAAACTGTAATTAGTTTTGTTGGTCTGCATTAAGCACACATACCTATGTAAATGTTAATTGTTTTTATTTACGACTGCAATATATTGGTAATAATTAGTATGTAGGAACGTGTAAATATACTTAATTTTTCATTTATTATGTAAAATAATATTCCTATATGTCTAGATACATTTAACGAGATCGCTAATTATAAAATAAGAGTTCCTTAGAACTGTATAGCGTCGGAATATTTTGTTTTACTAAGAACTTAGAAAAATGTACTGAATATAAATAAGAGAAACTTTACAAGAACATACAGGCAATATGAGGATATGGTAGTACAATTAACATAAACCTGTTTCAATAAATAATCTCTCCTGTGCAAAGAAATTTAATGAATATTTGTCCTAAAGTAGTTTGGGTTTGTTACAATATCTCTAATAATTGCTCAGTGGTAGTTTTCTTTTTCTTTTTTACGGATACCTAGTTATTTATTGTAGAATTTTATAAAAAATTATATTTGCTCATAAAATTAAATAGTAAAAAAAGTCTTGTTGCAAACTTTATACGTGGATGAATTATCAGTTCTATTAATTAAATAATACATGGTTGCCTGTAGCTATTCTAATTATACCTTCCCATTTTTGGTAGTAGTAATAGTAGCGGTTTTCGACAATAGAGAGGCAAAAACGAAAAAGAGGTTGCGACATTCAGTTGTCTCCGGTTTAGTAATGAGCTGTCCTAATAAAATTGCAGATCCAAACAATATCTAGTTAAAACATGAAAAATTTGACAGTAAAAAGTCACAGCTTCAGTTTTAAAAAAGTACTCCTTGAATTCAAGCGGATTGCCAAACAATTGCCAGAAGAGAAATTGCTGATTTAAATGTAGGTCATTACTGAAGAACTAAAAACAGTTAAACCATGAATGTTATTAAAAACCATCAATGTAAAATTATTAAAAACCTCAGTCTAATACTGCTGCGGTCTCATTTGCCGAGAATAAAAACAACGGGGACAAGCAAAGGAGAAAGTATTGGCTATCAAATCAGATAAATTTCCGAACTAACACTCAGGTTATTATAGAAATGTTCTTAATTATTTTTGTTATATTTAAATTGTATAATATAGCAGTGTTAAAAAAAATATTCATAGTAAACATTCATCATAAACAAAATTAGGTACGCTTTAAATAGTCGGAAATGAGTAAGCTTTAAAATATTCACTAGCAGTTACCATGACAATATTGGTATTACATAATGAAAAATACTAGGATTAGTTTTTTTAAAATTCAATAGAAAATTTCTACAATGAGAGATAACAAATTCTGAAAAAATCTGTACACGAATATGATAAAATAAATATTTGAAGTTAACTTTTTCATAGCACAGTATGTGTTAATGAACCATGTTATTTTGTTAACGGTACATTTATTTTCTTATTCTTCACTTTCTTGCCCTGGTAAAGTATCCATTCTTTAATAATAACGCTATTGCTGCTTGCTATCGGTTCCGACAAGTGTAAGATAGCACCTACAAGAAAAACTCTTGACCAATATGTTGTATTTTATCGAGTTTTTGATTCAAATAAATAAAATTTACTCATTTTCTCCTTTCCAGTTTGCAACGCAATTTCCATTGGAGTAACATTGATTTTGGACATAACATGGTCTTCGAATGACGTGGCTAGGAACTTAGCATCAGATGTTGGAATACCATACGTCGAAGTTGATGTTTCAATAAGTCCTGCTCTATTGTTACTTGATAAATATTTAGACTTTAGGAATTCCACTGATGTGTCTCTCATATTTGATAACCCACAATGTAAGAAAATTGCTCGCCTACTATACGGTTTTATATAATCGATATTACTTAAATATTATCTATTAAAATATCCATGCTATCTCCAAATAAAATTTTATGGACTTGCAATGATATCCACAGATGACAAAAAAATTTTGAACTTGTTTAATCTCGAAAAATGAAGATTATTTCCTTCACGAAAATAAATTTAAAAAGTTTTTGTAAATGACTGCTATTTTACACATAATTTAAGTTTTGTAAACGTGATATGAAAGAGCATATAATATGACTTCACCAGATAAAAAATTTAGGAAGACTTTTTGATTTGATTTAAATTAGCTTAGTACCTTTTAAGTGAAGTAATAAAGCACAAAAATGAAGTGTCGAAAAATATGTAAAACGCATTTTGTTAACCAGACCCTGTTGTTTATTAGCTGCCCTTATCTAAATTAGTCCCAAATGCATATGCAATAATATATATACATAGGTCATTGTACTACTGTATGGTTTTGATAAAAATTATAACGTAAATGATAATAATATAATTCACAAATTCTTCATCGTGGTACGGTTCCTAAGTCCAGATAAGATAAATAAATAAAGCACAAAGTAGGTACTATTAAAATTATATTCAATATAGTCTCCTACTACGACTGGATTGTTTACCTATGACTATATTTTTTTGACACAAGATTTGGAGTACCAATTGTTACCTTAGCAATTTTTTAGATGTAGATCAAGCGCTTTACTATTGGATTGATTCTACGAGACTGAGGATGATGATTTTAGAAACACTTGACAAGATTACTGCGAAAAAGCTGAGAGAAATCCGACCATATCCAAACAATTTTGCCTTGGTGGCCAATACCCAAAATATGAATAGACTTTTGAAAATTGTAATAAATACTCCTTACCCTCTAGTGCTCGCTAAACACTCTGTTCTTTTAGGTACTAGATGAAGAGTTAGTAACGCGACCGGACAGATGGAATTTAGTTTTTCTCGATTTCAACTATGATAATTTTGAAGAGAAACTGATGTACAACAAATCAATAAATTTACTAACTTTAGACAAAAACATGTGCTGCAATTTACTGAATAGGAAAGATTTTTGTTACTGTCCAGACAGCTTTAATTTACAAGAAGAATTTTTTAAGAAAGTTCTGTCTGTAATAGTTAAAAGTTTGGAGGCGTTAGTCAAAGATGGACAGAAACATACTAATGATATTAGGTGCAATGCTACCGCCTATGACAATCAGACAAAGTTGAGCTTTGAAGAAATTTTTGAGAACAAAATTTCGAGAAACCAGCTATATAAAAATAATTCTATTGTAAGTGTTAAAGTTGAAGGAACTATCAAAATTGGTCGTAACGAAAGCTATGAGGTAGTACTAAGATATTTAAATGATGTTATGGAACTTCAGCAAGGCAAGACTGTGAATCCGATAAGGCCATTTTATAGAATTGGAATAACGCATGTAAGTACTATTTAGAACTCGTATGGTTTTGCTGAAAATATGTTCTAATGAAGTCTCTGCATAGTTGATGTTGCTTTTTTGGTGGTTTGCGGAAATTGATAGAATTGTAAACTAAGTCGCGATATCAAAGATGTCTTAGGAGGTTGGTAAATTCAAATGTGAAAGTTTTTTAGGCCATACCGTGGTCGTACAAGGAACAAGACCCAGAGACTGAAGAGTGGTATTGGACTGGGTACTGTGTAGATTTTGCCAAGAAAATAGCCGAAGAGTTAGATTTTGATTTTGAATTTGTTGAACCGAAAAATGGCGATTTCGGCAAAAAAGTTAATGGTACGTGGAATGGAGTTATTGGAGACTTGGCTTCAGGGGTAAGCAAAAAACTTTGTAAACTAAAAAATCCATTAATTTTGATATGAATAATTCTGAATTTATTTAAAACTAAGTTAAGAATACAACTTTGGATGGTTCTGTGAAACAAAATGTGTTTCTTATAACGACATTGGTATTTCTTGCTGTGTACGAATGCACTTTAACTACTAAAAAAATTAATCAGTTAGTTTCTTAAATTTCTATTCATATTTTCATGCACGAGTCACAATTTGCGATGTATTTGCTGACCATGTTCTTTATAAAAGACATATTTCAATGAAACTGATGGATCTTGTTTTGATTAGACTACATGTCGAACCAACTAAACAAATTTGACAAAAAAGTATTTTATTTTAATCTACAGCATTTCATTATTTGGTAGAGAACCTAACCATCGCGTATAATTTGTTTCTTGTAGTCTTGTTCTAAAAGAAGTAATTGTCTTTATTTTTGTTGGCAGTTTCATCTTGAATGCATTTTCGATGTGAATCTGATTTTTCATACTTAACATACAATTCAGAGAAAAAAATGAATGGTACTCATTTATTTCATTCTGTAAATTGTGACTATATCAAATTCGCATTTCAACAATACTTAAAGACTATTAAAAATGAACACAAAGAGAAAAATCTGGGAAGGCTCTCTCACAATAAAACAAGAACTAATATTGTAAATTCACCTGTAAAAAAATGAGCATATTTGTTTAGTGTGGGGCTATTTTTTCCATTTCTGTTGATATCGGTTACAAATGTTAAAAGTGACATTTAGTAAACAATATTTCATTTAAACTTTACATATTTGGGAAAAGAAACACAAAAACTTTTAGCTACTCTGATTTCTAGCAAGCAAATGTATCAAGTTATTACAAATATGAACATTCTATATTTTCTTAATTTTAGCAAACAGATTTGGCAGTGGCTGCAATAATCATGACGGCAGACAGAGAAGAAGTTGTAGATTTTGTAGCACCTTATTATGAACAAACTGGAATTACAATAGGTAGAAGTTCAAGAAATTAAACTCTGCATTTTATATTTAGATTATATTATTTCAGTCATAAGAAAACCAGTCAGGAAAACTTCTCTGTTTAAGTTTATGACCGTACTTAAGTTAGAAGTTTGGTTGAGCATTGTAGCTGCTCTTATTGTGACAGGATTTATGGTATGGTTTCTGGATAAATATTCTCCCTATAGTGCCAGGAACAACAAGAAGGCTTATCCATACCCTTGCAGGTAGTAACTTTTTTTACCAAATAAACCAGAAAATGTACCTTGGTACGGAAATTTGAAATGATGGAAGAATAACTATGAAAGATGTAATTTTAATAGGAGCAATTTTTTACTCTTTTCCAATAATAATAATAAGTTTTGAAGATTCAGAACGTTTAATAAATCTTTTAATTCCAGTTTCAATCCAGCTATAAAATTTGTATAACATAAAATTTTCGATATTTTCGATTAAAAGTAAAAATGTTCTCTTCTAAAAGTCATGCAGGTCATTGACATTTAAGTAAATTGCAACATTTTTTAACGTAGATGCTTTTGGATTATCCTTTCAATTGTTTTTCAGAGAATTTACACTAAAAGAAAGTTTTTGGTTCGCTTTAACTTCCTTCACACCTCAAGGTGGGGGTGAAGCTCCAAAAGCTCTTTCTGGTAGAACTTTGGTAGCCGCTTACTGGCTGTTCGTGGTCCTCATGTTGGCGACATTCACCGCAAACTTGGCTGCGTTTTTGACAGTAGAACGCATGCAGGTACGTAGAGCTGAATCAGATGCTTTTAAATTAATCAGGACTACGATTGAAAACATACAAATTATTTTAAAAATGAATAAGTTCATAGATCAGGAACTGGCATATTTCTCAACTTATCCCAAAGTTAAGAAATAGAGCACTTGCGGTCCCCCGGACAAATCAAATTTACCATCTTAAGCCAATTCAAAATGATGTGGTTACTTGCCAAATACTTGTCATATGATGCAAACAAATGCAGTATTATGTGAAGTAATCTACAGTGAAATGTCGTATCATGTGGATGTGCATATCAGTAGATTCGTAAACATGTCTTAACTTGTCATCAGATATTCATCAAAAATTAAACAAACGGCACTTTGTTTAGATTTCTCAACAAATGAATCTTATTTAATATGAAAAGATAAATATATGCGTGCGTCGTGTGTCGAAGATTAAGGAATATGTGGATATTTCACGTCTGTACATCATGTGTATGTCTATACATGGATGGCTATTTATGTTTTATGAGTGACCGCATCATTTAGAGCATCTTTATACATAGAACGGTATTGAGGAATGGTAGAGGAAGGTGTAATTCTTTTTAACGGGGCAGAAGCTTACCTTTTCTGCTTTATAAATCTTTTATATTTTAACCAACATTTTCCTAGGTAGGTATATGTTAACTTTATAAAAGAAAATATGTAAACCATTTGTAAATTTATGTTTGGCCAGTGATGTATTTTTGAAAAATGGGTCACACTGAAAAATCGCACAGCTACTTCGGAAATATAATATTTGCAAAAATATGTCACTTTACATTATCTGTAAAATGTACTATCTCTAAAGTTTTATAAAATAATTACAGTGTTCTCGATAATAAATGTATATCACGTTAAATATTCATTTATTAATAAGTAAGGTATATCTAATTGTTACTTCAAAAAACATATCCTTGAAATAATTAAGTATTTCCATTTTAATGTATCTTTATTTATGCATTTTAAGGCTCCTGTCCAGTCACTGGAACAACTAGCCCGTCAGTCGAGAATAAATTACACCGTCGTTAAAAATTCGAATACACATCAATACTTTATCAATATGAAATTTGCGGAAGACACGCTTTATAGGTGAGAAAATTATTTTCTTTGTATAGTACGTGCTGGAAAAACTGACATTACTTTTGGATCAAAGCAAGGCATTTATACAAACAAAGCTAATGAGTATACAAATTTGTTACAAACAACCCCTCGATTCATCCCTGTGTAGATATAGAGATTTTCTAATTTTTGTAATTCATAGTGTAGCAAAATATCCAGAAAGAGAGTAAAAAAGTAAGTCTATATTCTTCTATATTCTTCAGCTACCAAAAAGATAAAAAATACCAAAATTTGATTGCACTAAAAGTTAATTCGATCAAAATTGATTTATTTTGTATCCCTTTGGATACGTAGGGATCGACTTAATCACAAATAATTACGATATTCTTAAAAAAACAATACTTTTTTAGGATGTGGAAAGAGTTAACATTAAACGCATCAACAGATGACACTAGATACCGCGTATGGGATTATCCCATAAAGGAACAGTACGGTCACATTTTGCTAGCTATAAACGACTCGAATCCTGTGGCAACGCCTGAGGCAGGATTTCGAAATGTAAATGAGCATTTAGACGCCGATTACGCCTTTATACACGATTCAAGCGAGATCAAGTACGAGATCAGCAGGAACTGCAACCTTACGGAAGTTGGAGAGGTATTCGCTGAAAAACCTTATGCAGTGGCGGTACAGCAGGGCAGTCACTTACAGGATGACTTAAGCAAAACGTAAGACTATTTATTAGAAAGTTTGTTATTAATATTATTAATTGTCAGTTTAACAATTGCAAAAAGTACATATTGTTTATTTATTTACTGTACTTTAAAATAAGCTTTGTGATGAAAAAACTTGGCTTTAAGGTAGGCTTTCCAAATAAGTTGTGGAATACATTTTATAATCTTGAAACGCCATTACATTAGAATATAGCTGGAGTTGATGACACTTCTTAAGGCTCCTAGCAGAAGGCAGCTGAGAGACATGTCTTGTGTCGTAGTACATATGGCCAACGTACATTCTTTAGCCATCACATTACTGTGACCAAACTTCAGATCAAATTCATCCTTTTATTCCACTCCAACAAGGCATTGACACAATCTAGAATCCCGCAAAAGTTATCCTGATGGGAAAAAGCGTGTATAAGCCCTTGTCATGGGCGTAGCTACAATTTTTGTTTGGGGTGGGCCCAGGGCTGCAAGTTCTATGGAGGCCCCTAAAAAGAAATCTCGCAATCAACCACTTAACCGATATAAAATTTGATTTGATTCTAAAAAAAGTCACGCAGTTGTCGATATGACAAATATGGTAATACATATTAGATCTTTTTTTTCTGGGGTGGGCACTGGGCTTTGTGGGGTGGGCACTGGGCTTTGTGGGGTGGGCCGTGAACACTCCTGCCCCCCCCCCCCCAGCTACGCCCATGGCCCTTGTAACTATCTCTGCAAATTTGAATATGCTGGTACATTCATCCAATATTTTAACAAGCACCGCAATAGAAGTACCAATGTGAGGTGCAAGTTATGCAGATAGAAAACTATGTTACTGTGCTTTTCCAATGGAGAAAAGATAGAAATATGTGAAAGCAACACTTTTGTCACCTCAGGATATTGAAGAAACCCCAACAGAACTGTTACTAACGACATGCACAATAAGTCAGTGAATTCCAAGATAGACTCTCCTAGTAAGCTTGAAGAGATTTTAGAAGAATATATCAAACATTAAGCTTGCAAATTTTAAGAATATGGAAAATAAAAATGTATTCAGATCAATGCAGAAAAAACTTAACTAAGGCTTCTAGAATTAAAATTCATATAAAAGTGGATAAAGACTTTCACACATAAATTACATAGGTATTATTTATAATAGTTTTAAGAATCCAGAACTTATTGATATATAATCATACTATTAAGTAACATTATTAACTATAATCGGTCGATAGCCGCACGGGTTAAGGCGTCAGTACTTAAATCGTGTGCAAATTTCTGCCCGGGTTCGATTCCCGCGGCTGGTAGACTGTAGATTAGCTATGCTTGTACGTAGGATTGGCACCCTCTGTGCAGGTATGGTAGGGTGGAAGAATGTTGGGTTGGGTCAATGTGAGAGATTGATACCGGTTGGCATTTGACCACCCCCCTAATTAATGAGGTTTTCCAGGTTTCCCTCATTCCTGCACTGAATGGTGGTTGGGGCCTACCAACATAAGTCGTTCCTGGGCGCAAATGCGGCCTGCATAATAATAATATGCCGCCTCCTCTCCCGCACAAGTCTCCGACTTATGGGCTAATTCTCGTAGTTAGAATGAGGAGTAGAGATATTATTATTATTATTATTATTTATTATAATTATAAAATTAACTTTACTTTAAAAGTAAAATTATCAGCTACTACTATTTCAGATTCATATCAAATGAGGTGGCACCAAATATCTACGTAGGTATGCTAAAGAAATAATTGCATAAACAAACTAGCAATAAATAATAATCTACAATAATTATGATGGATTACTAGTTTATCTATGGAGTTATTTTTTAGCATTAGATATCTGGTATCTAAGAACATGCGCGTGCCTTCATTTGATAAGAATAAAACTAATAAAAATAATAATGACAAAAATGAACACAAAATTAATTTAACATTTTTTAGGATACTAATTTTACAGAAACAAAGGTTTTTTGAGGATCTACGTACAAAATATTGGAATCATTCTTCTAAAGGCCAATGTCCTAGCACTGATGACAACGAGGGTATTACTCTTGAGAGTTTAGGTAAATCATTCTTTTAGAACTTTATAACTATTTTTGTTGGTAATCAACATATCTTTAAGCAATATTATTTAACATAATGAAGTACAATAAAGTGCAAAATATTTATTTCAGGTGGAGTCTTCATCGCAACTTTATTTGGACTGGCTCTGGCAATGATAACCTTAGTAGGTGAAGTATTTTACTACAGAAGGAAAGGGAAATCCAATGCAATAAAATCGAATAAGGCTCATGTATTTCCAGAAAAACAGTTAAAACCTGTACCACCTCGTCTAATAAATGCATCGACATATCCAGTTACAATTGGAACTACGTTTAAGCCGGTTAATGCGAAACAGAAAGGAGAAAAGGATGACCTAAGATTATCACACATTACTCTATACCCTCGTGCAAGAAACACCATAACTAAAATTAATAATTGAATAATTAGGTATTTAGTTCGTTCCTCTTTATGATTTTTAGTTTAAAGTACAACGAAACTTATTGATTATTTGTATAACTCTTTACATTTAACTATTTATAAATATATATTATCAACTAAATAAACTTAATTAATCAAATCGTATGCTTTTCCGTTCAAATTTTCCAGAACCTTAAATATTCAAGAAATACTTACTATAGTTACGGTATATTCAAATTAAATATTTCAAAATATTTAATATATTTATTATATGTAGAAAAGAATAACAACTGCATCTAAAAAATTGTTTAAAAACTAAATATCAAGGATATTTAGTTCTTAAGTTAAATTTGAAGGCAAATTTCACGAAAAAATATTCCGATACCTGTAATGTATGATTTATATCCCTGAAAGAACTGATATTTACTAAATACTAACTTCAAACGAGCTGGACATTGCTTTCACCGACTTCTGTTTCTTAGCCCAGGCTGCATAGCCGCACCACCCTACCCAACCATAAACATGACACCACCCCCGGGGTTTACACAGACGAGCCGGCGAAGCAAGAAGAGCGCCAGAAGAAAGGGCCCTAGCCGGCGGGGCCCAGCCAGGACAAAAGGAGGTCCCACAAAGCGCCTACACCGGCACCTACGAAGGCTGTCCAGGCCTTCACGAGATGAGGCAGGATAAAGAGGGATAATCCCCCTCGATCCCAAATCATTGAGGTCAATTTCTAGCCATGGAATAATGGCGCGTGTTTCTTAGCGTGCAGTTCCAATGAATACGCCTTATCAGTTTTGTATTCTGTTCTATTTTCTATTGTATAGTCGAAGGGTGGTTTAGCTTATGCTCTCTTATGTCTTAATCTATGGTGCTCTGACTGCTCTGCTCCTATTGTTTAGATCAGTGACCAGTGACGCAAAATTATAATTTTAACATGGCCGACTTTGATAAAAGTGAAGAAGCTTCTCCTGAAATAATGCGTAAAAAGTCAGAAAGTGAGAGCAAACCTAGTTTGCAGCAAGACGAGGACAGTGAAAGTGCAGAAGAACAGCCCCTAGATATTGGGGAGCATTATTTAGTACGAAGATCCGATGATTCTTGGCGTAAGTTTAGCATAACCTCAAACGTTTGTTTATTTTGTTACTTTCATAACACTTTTTTTATTTTCAGATCCTGCCGAGATCATACAGTCAAGATATAATGATTTGGAACGTCAATATGAGTATTATGTGCATTATGAAGGTTATAACCGTAGATTGGATGAATGGGTTTGTTGTCAACAACCACTTTTTAATTTTTAGAAGTTTAAACTAAGCTTTATTAAGTCTATCATTATTTATTTTTGGCAGGTTCCCAGAGGCCGCATTATGTCTTCCAGATTTAACATGTCGGAGAGTGGTCAGAAAGGAGCTGTGGATATGAAAGTTTGGAGAGACAGACCCGTAATAACAGACCTTCTCGCCGACAATTCCGATAGAAAAATAACACGCAACCAGAAACGTAGACATGATGAAATTAACCACATTCAAAAAACTTATGCTGAAATGGACCCAACAACAGCAGCGCTAGAAAAAGAACATGAACAAATTACTAAAGTAAAATACATTGATAAGATACAAATTGGACGGTTTGAAATTGACACTTGGTATTTTAGTCCGTATCCTGAAGATTATGGGAGGCAAAGTAAACTTTGGATTTGCGAATATTGCCTGAAATACATGCGTTTGGAGAAAAGTTACCGGTATCATATGGTAAATTACCTAGAATAAAGTAAAGGTAGAGTTGTTTTAAATCAATTATTATTTTAGAGCGAGTGTACCCAGAGACAACCTGTCGGAAAAGAAATTTATAGAAAGGGAACATTGTCAGTATATGAAGTAGATGGAAAAGATCATAAGGTAAGTAAATACAAATCAAATAAACAATAATCCAGAATTATACATAAAATGTTAAAAGGTCATGTTTTCATGATTAATAAGTTATTAGTCTTAATATGTACCAATAAGTGTCATTGACCCAGTGTTCCATAGTTTTATTGTATTTGTCGATAAAATGAGTAAATATTACTTACATTTGATTGTTTGAGTGTAGACTCCGCCATGTTTAATCGATAACCATTTGATGTTCGCACTTTTACCTGTTGTATACGTAGAGGTTAATATTGGGTTAATGTGTTAAATTAAACTGTATACTACTTGAAATTGTAAACAATTGGATAATAAATTCTCTGTTTTGCATAACATGTGCCACACTTGTTAATTGGTACACCAAAGGATTTATCGATATGCCTCGATTTTCTTCCACAATATTTAAAAATTTATTCCTCGTTTGCTACAACGTAATATGAATGCTCGTGACTCCAGTCTCATTCATTTCACAGCCTTGTTGAACCACTGCCTCGCTTCCCCATAAATTAAAATAATCATTAATTCTGCATTACTATGCATTTAGGCCATTTTGAATACTTGTAAGAACACGTAAAGAATAAACCACCATAATAAGAACACTAAAGGCCACAGTAATACTGAATAAATAGGTTTTTGTCAAATCAAATTAAGGTCAATGAAATAAATAACTAAAAAATTAGTGTCTGGCAGAATTAATGTGAATTTGGTACAGTATAGATATGTAGGGTGCCCCAGAAATAGGTGCCAACATTTTAACACCCATCAGAAGCAACATCTTTTGCCTTCGCAAGTTACGGTTTTAGTAAAATCGTAGATTTGACTTAATATACTGTCAAATCTGGTATTTCTGGGACACCTTCTGATCTCGGAAGGATAATTCTAAGTCTGGTGTACAAAATAACATTTTTTGGTAATATTTTTAGGTTTATTGTCAGAACCTTTGTCTATTGGCCAAGTTATTCCTAGATCACAAAACCTTGTACTTTGATGTGGAACCTTTTCTATTCTACATACTGTGTGAAGTAGACAAACAAGGGGCTCATATTGTTGGTTATTTCTCCAAGGTATTGCATTATATTTCCATTTCGTGTTGGTTACGACTGAATTTGCACCATATTTTAGGAAAAAGAATCCCCCGATGGAAACAATGTAGCATGCATTTTAACTCTTCCGCCGTATCAGAGGCAAGGTTATGGGAAGCTACTAATCGCATTTAGTTACGAATTATCCAGGCTCGAGGGCACCGTCGGTAGTCCCGAACAACCACTAAGTGATCTGGGCAAACTGAGTTATCGCAGTTATTGGAGTTGGGTTCTTTTAGAAATTTTGAGGGACTTCAGGGGAACTTTGTCCATTAAAGATTTAAGGTAAGGAAAATGTAACAAATCGCGTCTACGGTAAAATTATTATTTACATTTTCAGTCAAATGACCAGTATCACACAGACAGACATAATATCCACTTTGCAAAGTATGAATATGGTGAAGTACTGGAAAGGGCAGCATGTAATTTGCGTTACCCCAAAACTGGTGGACGAGCATATAAAGTCCAGCCAGTACAAGAGGCCCAGACTTTGCGTAGACAGCAGTGCCCTTAGATGGACCCCTAGAAGACATGCTAACAATAAGCTAGGGAAAAAATAGCATACACTTAACGTTGTAATTAGACATAAAGTACTTTGAGTATTTTACGTACATTTGTGATATTACATTTAATTTCGTAATTCTGTAGGATATGATTTTTATGATTTTTTTAAGTACAATTTAGTGGTATGTTGTTCGTAAATAAATAAGTAAAAAAACATATTTTTTATTTTTGTTGTACTGTAAACAGTTTGCCGCAAATGGCAAAACCGCAAAATTTTTTAAGCTGTGTTCTCTTCCAATTACTTCGAACACGTCTTGAATCAATTTGAATATTAGTACTTGAAATTATTATCTGTAGAGTCGTTCTTAATGAAATAAAAAGGTGTCTTTTTATAATATATTATTTTATTTCAATTCGCACATATTAATTTTTGAAATACGAAGTTGAGTAATTAACTTTCCAATCTGATTTACGCCGTTTCTATGCGCGATAACTCAAACAAACATAGTTGCCGATGCTCGAATAGGGCATCTAACGGGTCATTTCTGTGAAGCAAAAGACACTGTGCGGATATCGAAATTTTCACCTATGTTTTGAATCGATGTTTCAAATTCAAAGATCGAGATCGAACGTCGACTCAGTTTCATATTCCATAAACAGTCGAGTGATTGGCTAGTGTGTGTAGTGTGTATACCACCCAAAATCAAGCGTATTCGTTGCTTTATTTCAATACCATTGTAGCTGTCCTTGTTTATTATACTAAGGAGTCCACACGACAATTTAAAAAAACTAAATACAGTTTTTTCCTAAACTTGAACTTTTTTACAACTTGTGGCTCATGTTTAGATCATTTAAAAATTAATTTCGTATATCCCTAGAAGAATATCCATATTTCTTATTAATTGTATGTTTTTCATAGTTTTTATGGATGTCAACGTATTATTTTATCTTCAATTTTGAATATTTTATCTATGTTTGAATCTAGTTATCTCGCTTATCTATGTTTGAATCGATCTCTAATCCCTGACCTAAACCACAGGAAACAAGCGTTTCTTCTTCTTCTTTTATTAGCCTTCACCCCAATTCAAATTTAACTTTCCTTACTATTTACATTGTTTAAATATATACAATATTTAAACAATGCTATTTATTTAGAATATTAAAATTATAGAAGTCTTTTTTTACGACTGAATATTGGTGAATATCTGACTTGTAATTACTATTTGTATCACTTTTGATCTTAATTGTCATATGGTAGTTTTCTATTCCAAATCTTTCCATTCTCTCACANTTATCTTCAACTTTGAATATTTTATCTATGTTTGAATCTAGTTATCTCGCTTATCTATGTTTGAATCGATCTCTAATCCCTGACCTAAACCACAGGAAACAAGCGTTTCTTCTTCTTCTTTTATTAGCCTTCACCCCAATTCAAATTTAACTTTCCTTACTATTTACATTGTTTAAATATATACAATATTTAAACAATGCTATTTATTTAGAATATTAAAATTATAGAAGTCTTTTTTTACGACTGAATATTGGTGAATATCTGACTTGTAATTACTATTTGTATCACTTTTGATCTTAATTGTCATATGGTAGTTTTCTATTCCAAATCTTTCCATTCTCTCACACTAAACATACTACAAAAAAACCATAGATTACTACAAGAACAACATACGACTTCACTCGTGAAAAAAAAACCCTGTGAAAAAAACCCTATGGAAATGGAGTTTATTTTAAACAAACGTGTCATTTTTTGTCTCCTTCTAATCTGTTTAAAAAAGATTTGTATTCCGTGCTGTGACAAAGTTGACGTGTTCCTTGACTTGAAAGATATCATTTTATCAAAATTAGTAAATAAAATAAATTTAAATTTTTTTACTACGATTTGTAATTTGTAATGGTGTTAGTGTAAAAATTTATATTTTGCAAAATTAATAGATACGTAATATAAGAACAAGTGGGAAAACCGAACAAAACCGTAATACATATTTATCAGGCAAGTATCTACCTAATTCAGAAATTGTTTATATTTCCTAATTGTCAACAAGGAAATTCCCCGTATTTCTTTGAACTCTTTGACCGCTGGTTTTCACCACGTAATTCAGTTTATTAGATAAATGTTCGCGAATGTACGTGATATTTTCTACTAGGTAGGTAAATTTTGTTAAAACTTAGTTCTACATTCGTTCTTGTAACTGTTTGATATATACGATAATAATAAAAGGCATCCATTTCTATTTTTAACATATTTTAGGTTTAACATGCAGAAATTTATTGGATTTACTTTATTATTGGCTATTCTGCAGACATGTTTTGCTCCACCAGTAACACAAAATAAAAAAGAGGCTGATGCAAATGAAGAAGATTCCAACATAAATGGTCTAGAAGACTACATGGAATATCACAGATATCTCAAAGAAGTAGTTAATGCTCTGGAATCTGACCCCGATTTTAGACAGAAACTTGAAAAGGCTGATGAAAACGAAATTAAATCTGGTAAGATTGCCGAAGAACTTGAATTTGTGTCACATCATGTGAGAACTAGATTAGATGAAATTAAAAGAATAGAATTGGAGCGGTTGAAAGAGCTTGCCGAGCAGAAGAAAAAATTGGAAGACCCCAACTCTATCGATGAAGATCCTGTTCATCACCATTTAGATCATGACAATCCACATACATTTGAAATCGAGGATTTAAAAAAACTTATTGCTAAAACCACTGCTGATTTGGCTGAAGTTGATAAGAAACGAAAGGAGCAATTCAAGCAGTACGAGCTAGAAAAAGAGTATAAGAAACAGGAAAAACTCAATCATACTAATGGTGCAGAAAGGGAAAAATTGGAAAAAGAATATCAGGTATGAAAACACCAGTTACCATGTGTTATTTAATTTATTATTTATGTTTTATCATCTATAAATTGACGTAAAATTTTGAGCCACGCATTAAACCTTTTCGTTCTACAATCATTTGAATCGCCTTATTTTTTTGTCAAAATTAATAAGTTCAGCTTGTACATAGCACATCTTGAGTTAAATTTGTAGAAACTATCATTTTTTTTTAAATATTTCTTAAACTGAAGGAAATGGAACAAAAACATAAGAAGCACGAAAAATTACACCAACCTGGACATAAAGCTCAACTGGAAGAAGTTTGGGAGGAACAGGATCAAATGCAACAAGACTTCGACCCCAAAACCTTTTTCATGTTACATGACCTCGATGGAAACGGCCTATGGGATCAAGACGAAGTCAAATCCCTTTTTATAAAGGAACTCGACAAGATGTATCAACAAGGAGCACCAGAAGACGATATGAGAGAACGTATTGAAGAAATGGAACGTATGAGAGAAAGTGTATTTAAGGAGATGGATACAAACCATGATGGATTCATCGATTACAACGAATTCTGGTCTCAAACGCATTCAAGAGATTTCAATCAAGATAATGGATGGCAATCCCTCGACGAACAAAAGCCATATACCGACGAGGAATTGGCCGAATATATAAGGCAACACGAAGCAGCCAATCAAATATATCAAGGTCACCCCGGAGCTTATCAGATTCCGCCAGGTGGGTACCAACAAGTACCCCCAGGTGGATACCAACAGGTACCGCCAGGCGGATATCAACAAGTGCCACCTGGAGGATACCAACAGGTACCGCCTGGAGGTTACCAACAAGTACCACATGGAGGGTACCAACAACCACCACCAGGGGGTTATCAAGCTCCCCAAGGGTATCAACCTCCCCCTCCAGCAGGATATCAGCCGGTTCCTCCAGGAGGCCATCAACAAGCTCCTCCAAATCAGCAAGTTCCTGGCGGATACCAGCAGGTCCCTTCGGGTGGATATCACCCTAATGCTGTTCCTCCTCAAGGACAGGTTAACGACGGACGAGTTCCGCAAAGTCCTCCACAGACCGTAAGTGAAACTTTTTTTTTATATTTTCAGCCGTTATTGTCCAGTAATTCAGTTTTCTCCAAATCGCTCATCGTTAATCTTATTTTGATTCTGTAGGTTGTTTTTTAAGTTGGGATTTTGTTTTTAATCCGATATAGAGCAAAGTAAACAGATTTTTGAAATAACAGTTTTTCTTTATCTTAAAAATAGCAGAAAAGTTTTTAAAATTTGTAGAAAGTCCAACAAAAAATGTAGAATTAGTTACGTTTTCATAGAGTTCATATTTATTTTTTTAATTATTTTCTTTTGTACTGCATTAACCGTTACTCTGTATGTCATGGCGTCTAATGAAAGTATAGGTCAACGGGAATAAGTTTGCGGGTGAGAAAGAGCAAGTGAAGAAAATAAGGTTCTGCCTATAAATGAAATAAAATTTTGTTTCCTCTTCGACGCCTGAAATCGTCGGTTTCGAAGTATTTCTTTGCAATAATACGATATAGGAAATATGAAAGAGAAAAAGGAACAAAAATAAATTTAATTGATAAATCAGTTGATAGAAAGGTGGAAAATCATTGAGATATTGTGAAAATTACCGGGCGTGGTTTTATTGTTGGAAAGTCTTGGGGACAAGAGGCGTCTCATCTCGTGGGTCATGAAAAAAGTATAGCGTCATTGTTTTTTTATCAACAAATACGTCAAAAATTCGTCATTTTTCGTTCTACGCGTTATTGTAAAAAAACTATTACTTAATCTTAGCAAAAAATGTTCAACTGACGATTTGATCTAGAGAAACTCATCTTTAAAATGAGATAATAAGTTAAAATTGCTTTATAAACAAAAAATTTATTGCAAAATTAAACGGAAAAAGTGCTTTTTCTTTAATTGTTAATAACTTTTTAAATAATTAACAAAATCTTACCAAACTTTCCCAAAATGTGAGTTTTTATATCCTTAAGAGATGTGCAAAAGATGGGCTCGATCGGTCAATTTTGCAAACTTCCATTTATCCTATTTTTGCAAAAAAGGCCCATTTTCAAATGACTATTCCGGGGGCAGGGTTATGACTAAAACATTATTTTTGGGCTCATTTTCTTCGAAGGGATACCAAGTCTACTCTAGTTAAAATTTTTTTTTTTTCAAATTTAGTTGTATATAATTGTTAACAAATAAAAGGCACTTTTTTCCCCAATAAACAAATAAAATAACAACAGTTTTTAACTTTTGAAAGAAGTTATATAGTTTTTTTTTAACTAGAGGATACTTGGTGTCCCTTCGAAGAAAATGAGCCTAAAAATAATGTTTTAGTCATAACCCTGCTCCCGGAATAGTCATTTGAAAATGGGCCTTTTTTGCAAAAATGGGATAAATAAATGGTATTTTGCAAAAACTATTTGACCGATTGAGCCCATCGTTTGCACATCTCTTAAGGATATAAAAACTTACATTTTGGGAAAGTTTGGTAAGATTTTATTAATTATTTAAAAAGTTATTAACAATTAAAGAAAAAGCACTTTTTCCGTTTCATTTTGCAATAACTTTTCTGTTTATAAAGCAATTTTAACTTATAAAGTCTCATTTTAAAGATGAATTTCTCTAGATCAAATCGTCTATTGAACATTTTTTGCTAAGATTAATAGTTTTTCTATAATAACGCGTAGAACGAAAAATGACGAATTTTTGACATATTTGTTGATAAAAAACAATGACGCTATACTTTTTTCATGACCCACCTGATGAGACGCCTCTTGTATTATCATTCCCAAGACTTTTCAACATTAAAATCACACCCAGTAATTAATAAATTTCAAAATGTTTCCTTTCCTAGTCTATGATATAAAAATTATTAATAATAGGTAGATGTCGGCAAATTTGGGACACATGACAAATAATAAAGGCAAATTTATCAAGTAGGTTCATATTTATCAAATCGTTTTATACACTTCATAATAAAAAATGGAGTAAAAATATTTTTAAAAAATTATAAGGAATGTTTTTATTTAACTGGATAAAAATATAAAAAACATATTTTCTTTACAACACAATCTTGATGGTATAGTCGTTGCGATATCAGTTGGAACGCGGCGTTTACACCAAGTGTGTAACACCTCAAATCCTCTGTCATGTTTCCAAGGTGCCGAGGTCTGATGTATCAATATTTTAAAGAATGTGTTTTTTTTTGTAAGGGGCCAATTTCTCAGCACGATTTGAACACAAATGAGGTACGCCCACAGCAGGGTCAAGCCAATTACCAAAATCAACAAGTCAATCAACCGCCACCTGGTGGTCAAACAAATTACCAAAATCAACAAGTCAACCAACCGCCACCTGGTGGCCAAATAAATTACCAAAATCAACAAGTAAACCAGCCGCCACCTGGTGGGCAAAATCAACAAGTAAATCACCAGCAGGCCGCTAATCAGCAGCAAAATACACAACAGCCTCAGCAAAACGTACAGCAACCCGTACAGAATCAACCGCCTATGGTCCAACAACCAGGACAGACATATCAGCAGCCACAGCAGAACAATCAACAGCCACAGCAAATTAATCAGCAACAACAAATTAACCAGCAACAGCATCAACAACAAAACCAAGCTCCACCCAATGTAGCATAAAACAGATATTATTTATTAGATTAATTAAGGTATATTCAATGTTCCATGATTCAGTTAGCATTTAAGTATTTTTTTTGCAATTAAAAATTTTCTTTTTGTAAGTTCGCAGAAAATGCGTTTTTTCCAAAAATGTGGCTGTGCCGTGTTTGTATAAATAATTATTTCATGTGTATAAAATTGTACATTATTTAATCCAGGAATCTCACAGATGCAAGCATTTAACTAAAGAAGTGTAAAGAGCTAAAGTATATAATAATAATAAAAACATGCCTGTAAAAATGTATTTGTTCCTTCTCTCTATTACTACTAGTGATTAATATTTTGCTGTATTTGCCCTTTTATTCCACAACTAAATACGGGAAATATACAATTTTTTTTTTATTTCTGGTCAATTCTTAAATAAAATTATTGTGTATCAAATTTTTGAAAAATATTTAATATCTAATCTATTACATTACATTTTTTTTTATTTATATAGTAAATATGAAATATTATAGTAAATATGAAACGAAATTTTATTTTCGATAATCTGATAATAATCTTAGATTATTTTGATCAAGAAATTTTAAAATAGAAAAAAAAATATAACATTTTTCTGAAATTTTTCGTAAACTAAAGAAAATTATTTACTTAAGACAAATAAGTATAATTTTAGAGGATAGAATTCACAAAAAAAAGCATTTTCTATAATCAAAATCGTTGAAACTGCAGAATACGTTAGAATTGTTAAAACTTATTGAGAACCTCTGGAATCATCCCTGGCTCACATACTGCATAAAAAGAACTAAATAATTCTGGTCCGAAAAGGGACATTGTCTGCTTTTTGTCCTAAATATTTAAGAAGTCATTTATTTTTTCTAGATTCTTTAACTTTAACCTTTGTTTTCTTTTTTTTTTTGTGAATGGATATTGTGCTTGTGGTGTATCAACAAATGCTGTGTATTCGCAAAAAATGGCCCGCAATTACAGTAACGATGAATTAATGGATATGGTAATGTATGGATAAGCTGATGAAATAGAAGCTAATCTTTTGTACAGTGATTTCCAAATAGACATGAACCAACACTTGAAAACAGAGGCAAAGCTATCGGTGGAGTCGGGGGTTCCAAAACAGTTTTCGTCCTAATATGAAAAGTCAATAGGTGTTTAGAAAATATTACTTAATAGTATATTTGCAAAAAAAATTTCTGCCAACTAAGTTTCCACACAATTTAACTCTTCAAATATCCCTTCTAAGTTTGTAAACTGTGTAGAGAGATAAACACTACATGTAAACACTATGATTCCAGTAGAGCTATTGCCTGCATTAACACAAAATATTGGCTAGCGGTAGGGCTTGCAATCTCGCAGTGAATTGGAAATTCCTGTATTTGCGACACTTGACGTTGAAATTTTAAATATATGAGGATTGCTTTTGGTGTACAGCAAAACAAAATTCTCTCTCAGTGGTATTTTTATTGAAAACTAAGTGTAGAAAAAAAGATATGTTTTCGGGGCGAGCGTTCACTGGAGTCTTTTTGGTGTGGAGTCGTTTGCAGGTATCTGGTCCTTGGAGCCAATCTGCCGTGGTCCTCTTCCGGGAACCATATCCCGCATTGCACATTGTTTTTTTGTTGCTTGCAACGGTTAGGCCGTCCGGTGTCAGGCTGGCACTTTTGATGTAATACTTAAAATGTGTACATGTGTACCCACGTATACAAAAAAATGTTCTTTTGAACACCAAACATAAATAATTATGCAGATTTGGTCCGAGGTCAAAACTATGTGCTTCCTGTAAAAAAACTAAAGTTGACCTTGAAATGACAGAGTCACGCCCAAGATCAGAAGGTCACCATTACACGTCTTCCTGAGTTGAGCAACTTTTATTTGAAACATTTTTTGCTAAAATTTACCTTTGGTACGGCATTTGGGTGCAAAGATTGAGGAAAAAATAAAATTGACCTTTACATGATCCACATATGATACGAGTACATCATCTGTACATAGAATTTCTCTCTTTCCGAATCCGGGGTCAAAAATAGGGGATCCTATCTAAAAAAACAAAGTTGACCTTGAAAACGACCTTCATAGGTCATGTCCCTCTCGGAGCCAGTAATTTTTGTACGAAACATTTTTCGCTAAATTTTACCGGGCAGAGATATCCCGGTGGAGGGATTAAAATGGCCTACCCTGTATATTTCGTGTACATTATCACATGTAATAACGATTATTACTCACTTGTGTGGTATTGAACTATTTTGTTGTCAAAAGATTTGCGAAATGGATTTCTTTTGTTTTCTCGGTTTCAATATTTTGAGTTTATAATTTGAGCGTTTAGCAGACCTGATCAGAACAAACGGACCCTGGATTCGGATTCAGTTACCCTAAAAATGTAAATATGTCTTGTCTTTCAAAACTTCCACTTTTTGTTGTGGGGCTGTTATTGATCGCTCGAGAAGTGGTTTTCCTGTACTCCCCAATTTTCCCTGTTCCTCTACTTTAGCGCACGAAAACAGGAGGCAATATAGAAGAAATTATTGAAGTATAGTTTATTTAATGAAGTTACACTTACCAGGCTAACAGCATAAAACATTACAAGTGTTAAAATATAATACATATGAACAATTTGCACCAAGCCAAGTTGTTTTTACTACATTGTTATTCATTGTCTTTCCTTTCCCTAAATCTAACCACATTAAAAAATGAAGTAAAACAACGGTCGTACTAAATGTAGAAAAACATGTGTTAAAATGGGCCTTATCTTCAATATCAACGGAATATGCAGGATGATCGAGTAACAGCACCACACTATCATGAATATGTACCTAAAACTAGATTTAAAAAACAAAATGCATCATTACTGTCACTCAAGTGTGTCGTACATTATCGATGAACCTTGGCAAGTGCTTTACCCTTACTAACAGTTATAAAATATGATCACTTTTACCACATATATCAACTTAAAAAATGCTCTGTTAACCTACTTTCCTATGATATGAAATTAAACGGTACTCCTTAGCCATTACATAGTTATACAGGGTATCCCAAAAGTATGGAAACGTCAGAATAACTTGGAAGTAAAGGGTTATACGGAAAAACGCATTTTTTTTCCGGGCTATTCAATGATGACCTTGAATTTGACCTTGGTCTTGACGGTCATTTCAAGGTCATTACCTCTGAAGTGGTTTAAAAAATAAAAGTCATGAAGCCAACCCCACAATAAAAAATATGGGTTACCCTCACAAAGATTGACCTCTACTTTGAAATAACCATGATCTCAAGGTCATGATCAAAGCCATATTCAGACGTAAAATTCTGCACTCTTTCGAATGGTGATAAAAAGTAGGGGTTCACATTTGAAAAAAATGGCCTTGACCTTGAAATGACCTTCAAATTCAAGGTCATCATTGAATAGCTCAGAAAAAATCTTGAAACTTTTGTATAAAACGTTTTTCTGTATAGCCCTTTACTTCCGAGTTATTCTAGGGTTTTCATACTTTTGGGATGCCCTGTATATAGCGATCCTTTAGTAGGACGAAAGATCCAGAAAGTTGATTAACACGGAGAGGTATACAGAGATAGTTCGAAGATATACACAAATTTTAAAAACTCCACCCAGCTTCAAATATATATATTTTCCTACAGTTACAACAACCTCTATCATAAATCTAAACCGTCACTGTATACACATGAAATACAAAAGAAACATGGCGCTTGAAATATTTAAAACAGGTAATAGTAAGTAAAACTGCCATAGAAGTTATCAGTTTGTATTTCTAAAGAAATTTTAAAAATATGTACAGGATGTTTCAAATAACAATATTTCTCACACTTTCGTACATCAGATTTTTATATACAATAAACAAAACCCAGAAAAACCCTAACAAAACACATCTACTACATTCCTTATTTTAAACGAATAACCTCGAAATAATATTATATGAAACACTCTGTAGAAAGGCCAACCTAGTCTTTAGTGTATTACCTCGATATTTATAAGAAGAAATTAAAATGCCACAGTTATAAGACCATAAATAAATTCGTGCCGGTGGTTGGGAACAACCACTTAAAATCATACTGGGTTGGTTGAAGAATGGGCCACAAAAATTTTATTTATGTTACAGTAGATAATTATACTGAATTAACTGTAATAAATATACAATATAGTGGAGTTTTGGGCATGGTACATGTCTGAGTGCCAAGACTTTGTGGACGTTCTCAGAGTACGAATTTGCCCAGTATAATGCCTATAAAGCCCACAATTACAGAGAAAGCAATAAATAACATCGGGATAGTTTCCTCCTGTACCGGCGGCGCATATCTGTTGGCAGTCGTGCCAGAGGCCACGTGCTGTTTTAACTGTAAAATTTCCTCTTTCAGCTGTAAATTCTCCTGCCTCAGCTGACTTTCCTCTTCTCTTAGTTGTTGTACCTGAAGCGACACCGATTTTACATGATTTGTACTGTGTACGGCACGAAGATCGAGCGACCCAGAGCAGATGGTCGACCGCCATTACAGGAAAACGGAAGTAACAAATACGAAACAGCAAGCGGGGATTCTTGTAGCATCATTATGATCATGATGATTATAAGCCACGTGACCAGAAATTTTGTTTTGAATCGTAATTTTTTTCCTGTATGCTGGCAATTAAATTGCGGTAGAATTAAAAATTATTAAAACAATACGATCAAGATTACAGTAAAATAAAACATTTAGTTTCACCGGCTGTGATTTGTGTAATTTTTCACGAGATTCTATTCAACCAATCAGCAATCGCATTATCTCGAGCGTAAACGTAACAGTTTGTCATTGTTCAATGTAAACGAATCATTAGTATTATTTACGGATTTTTCGCTACCAGTACCGGCTTTACAAAGTTGGTTGCCTAAGTTTGTTGGTCACGAGGCTTGTAAACATTTAAGAAAGCTCTGTATTTAACTTAAAACTTCATTTCTAAGGGCTGTGATGTCATCGAAATAATTTTCTTACATTTTTTTTTACACCATATGAAAGTTCTCATTTTTCTCAACAACATATATTAAAACAGTTTTTTGATATCTCTTCCCGTTCAAAAGCACTAAAATAGAAAAGGAGTAAAACACTGGTTTGATCAAGTCTGTTACTGATTTTATCAGAATTGCGGAAAACAAGGTACTTTTAATATATATATATATTTTCCCGTAATGTCGGCCAATCATCAGTTCTGGGTCACTCTCTACAAACAGCGTGATTTAAAAGTTGTCATGTTAAATAAGTCAATATTGTTAATTTTAACTTGTTTGATGAAGATCACTAATTACAATCTTTCTCATTGTTATTTTAGAAAATATTTTGTTATGGTTAGTTTTTGAATGACTGAAAATACACTGTTTTCTGGAAAAATGCAGTTTGCTGTAAGTAAAGTAGAATAATAATCAAATATATCTTGAAGGGCTGATTTCTCAAGTCATTCTAGGAAAAAAACTCATACAAGATATGTCGTAAATTGACCCTTGTTCTAGACGAAGTTTGGTTATAACAACATTCAAGGGACCGTGATATTACATTAAAAAGTGGTTTCCATCAAATCTGAACTGAATTGCTGTGGATACGAGTATAAGTTCCAACCATAAAAACCCCGTCAGATGGTTACTTTGTCTGTTTTTGGCCACTATTACTCCATTTTTTAGCATATCAGGCACGTGTAAAAACGCAATGTAGACAGCAATGTCACACATTTGCAAGGAAAGTAATCCCATGACTTTGTAAAAAGGACAAATCTACTTGCTGAATAGGACTAGTAGTGGGAAGCACAATAGGCCTAATTAGGCCGCAGTGCTATGGGACTTTTTATTTGAAGGACCAACCACTAGATGAAGAAGAAAAAGAAGGAGAATCCCATGAACATACTGTCACACCATTCACACCCTTAATCCCACCCCCAAACCGGTCAAAACATATTCACAGCAATTTTCAATTTTGACGGAGGCCACTTTTTAATGGACCTAATTAGTGTGAACTTTTTTACTCTATATATAAAAATGAAATGACAAAAGGGTCATAGTCAATATCAGTAAATCATAATTTCTGATGTGTCATCTCTTGAATTTGAGACATACTTCTTCAAAACACCTTGTAGAGAACCAATGATAATAGAAATGAAACAGTTAGTAGGCCTGGGTTTTTGATGATTTTAACTAAACTATTCTCAACTTTTTTTCAATTTCCCGTAGAGTGGAAGTTGATATCAACTTTTTAAATGGAACAGTCTAGACCTATATGATTTTTTTTAAAAGTACAAAATTTCAATATCCTACGTCTAGAAACAGTTGGTTCGGAATTATTCGACATTTTACAAGAAAAAATTGCCTACAAGAATTTTAATAACTTTTTCATATGGTAGAAGCAAACCCCATTTTTGGCGTAATTAGATCAATAGATGCTTTGTCTTTCATAATTAATATATATAAAAAAAATTATGTACAGTTCAATTTTTTGTTTATAATTTCAAAATGCAAAAGCTTTTTTATTTGAAATAGAACACCTTAATTTTTTTTTAATGAAACTGTAAAAGTGTAAAATTAATCTGAATTTTCCAGAACATTTACTGTTAGGGTTAAAGTTGCAACTTTTTGAGGTTTTACTTTTTTTAGATTTCAAGAATTTTTCATAAAAATAACAGACTATGTCATGAATATAAATTAAATTAAATTGCTTCATATTTTTTCTATATACCGATAAATTATTGTAATGACAGCCAAACTCTGCAGAAAGTGAATAATCTAATAAGCACATAAAAAACACGGTTAATTAAAAAATTCGTCGAGACTAACCTCCTGGGCGGCCTTCTGTAGTTCCGTGACCACAGAATTATTGGCCTCAGTAGTAGTTGTGAATTTAGGACTAGATTTAGTGGCATCTTCTTGAGATTCGTTCTGTTCTACTGGCATCTCAAACACACACTTCAACTTTGAATCCATGAGTTGTTCTGGGCTAAGAACCTTCCATAGCTGTTCTAGATTGATCTCGCCGTCTGGCGCAAACACAGTCTGCACCATAAATTTATGTTTATTCTTCTCTGCAGGATCAAATAAGAATGGTTGTAGGCAAACTGGAACAAGCGAATGCTAGTAAACATTTATACCTACGCTTCGTGAAGCTGTAATTTGAAATATATGTATAGTTCCATTTGATTTAATTGGATCCTAAAATAATGAATAATTTGTCGATATATGAAACAGGAACTTCGATAAAATAAAGACAAAATTACGTTTAATAAACCGTAACTTACTTGCTATTTCTATATTACTGTTGGGTTCTAAAACACCCGAGTTAGGACGTACACAGTACTTTTTCGGAGCTGTGGTTTTAATTTTAAACATAACCCTCTTGTCCGATGGATTTGTCAGTTTCATATACGAAGTGACGGGAGCGTTAAATGGACCTGAAAATAGAAATCATTATCTTTTACGTATATATCCCTCAAATATAAAGTCTACATATTTAAAGACCCATACAGCTCATGAAAATTTGCTGTAATATTCAGGCAAGAAAATATCTTGTAAAAATTGAGTAAAAACAAAAATAAACAAATTAAACAAATCAAAATTTTTACAATTAATATGAATAAAAAAAGAAGATAACATGGAATTTACGTTAAATTATAATCGTTATTAAATAGATAAGAACATATTTGTTCCTACTATTGCAAAGTAATAATAAAACAGCTTTATTAATAACAATCACAGCTGTTAATAATAATTATGAAACAATTAGATTATTATTACAATTGAAATTCCTATTAAGCATAAAGATAACTGAATATTGCTAGTTTTAGCTTTTCCTCTGGTTATTTCGATGTTTTACCACTTGCAAAATAATAGAAAAATTAAACAAGGTTGTGACAAAAGGATCAGGGTTATTATCGTATGAAACTATTTTTGCCTAAAATTTTACATTGACAAGAGAAAAAATACAGACTCAATCTGTTAAATCTCTTCGAAAAATAAATATCAACTACAGTTTTGAATACGAAAACAGATGAAAATGTTATGCAATTGAAATCTGTGGTACTGTATAGCGATGTATATATTTTTTATTTCTCTGCTTGTGAAATTTAGGGTATAATGTGTATTATTTTAAAACAAGTGTAGATATTGTTGGAGTTTATAAAAGTGACACAATTTTTGTAAATAGTTTACCATTAGTACATAGGTACTTTTCTTCGATATTTTAAAAATACTTTGAGATATTCAACAATTCATGCAAATCATATTAAAACATATACCCAACAATTTATTTGCAAATAATTTAGTACTGCAGTGAGTTTCTAATTAGATTGTTTTTGAGGGAACATATCTTCCATGAAACTCACATGTACAAACTTAAATTCATAAATCATTACTTCACTTCAGTGGCTATGTACACATTTCATTAAAAAATTCAAGACATTGAGACAAGTAGTTAAACAAATCACTCAGAATGTGACTACTAAACGATAGTTAAAATTAAATCATAAAATAAAAAAGTAAATGGGGTAATTGTGTTTTACATTATTTGAAATATTTATAAAGCATAAATAATTTTAAAATACTATTAATAAAATTAGATTTCACAGTGTCCGTTCACATTGAATCTATTTATATACGATACCCACATACTCTAATTTTATGTAACATGAAAAATTTTAATAGTATAATACCTAGTAGTCGTTTACTTTCATTTTTATTAATTCTAATAATTAATTCTCAAAACATATCGTTAAAGCAATACCCTTTAAAGATTTTAACTTTATTATCAATTCATATTTACAAAGCTGGAAAGTAAAATCCTAATATTTTTTACTAATACCTCTGAAAAAACCATGATAGTACAATTGGACTGATAAGTATTGAGGTTAATCGCTTCACTAGTGTGTTTAGTTATGTTCATACTTATAACTTATAGATGACTCGTAATTGTTATGTTTCAAGGTAAGACATATAAATAATTAAAGGACTTTGCTTCCAAATATTACAATAACCCAGTTGTAAGTTATTATACTAGTAAAATAGCAAAAATCTAAATTATGGAAACCGACGTTACTATTCAAAATGTGCATCAATCTAGAAAAAAATCTTGTTGCACTTATGAAGTCTCTAATGATTTTTATATCATGTAGACTGGGTAGATACTGTAGTTTTGGACGAACCCTTTCCTGAAACGTCAAAAATCTTGAAATAGATTTCTTGGTGTGTGCTTGGAAGGCCAGTATTTATTATTGGTGGGTATGGAATACGTCAATATATATATTTCCAAGAGTCTCACCTCTGAATCTGAGTTCATTTTGAGGTTCAATTTGAAGCACTTGCTCCGGCTTAGACATTATTTTAACCTAACACTTGAATACTGATGAAAGACAACCACAAACTCAATTTTTTTACACAATTCTGTTAGTGACAGATCCCGGTTATACTGCACTTTCTGACAAGTTGCGCGCACGCGTGTGATCAAAGATGGCTGCCTTACACGCCAAAAACAGTGACATCATCGTTGACGATAAAACAGGCAAAGATTTTATTGCAGTAACCGAACCAACAGAAGCAAACTTTATATTAAATTAGATATTTCGAATATAGATGTCAGCATCACAAGCAACTTTGTACAGAACGTACCTACAAATATCAACGGAATCTGCAACCTGTTTCTATTGTGAATGTTTTTTAAAAAAGCTTGTGTGTGCAGTGAATAGATATTATTGAAGTTTAGAGAAACATTTCTAATTGAAAAGGGACAAGTGAAATTTAATTTGTTACCATAACTGATGCAGTCTACTGGGAATTGTATTTTTCATAAAGGTAGGTAAGTAGAAGTAGCTTACTCCGCTAACCTGTCAGTTTTTTTATTACAGATTGTTCGTAATGTTTTTCTGATTATATTTCGAAATCTTTTGACGACTGGACGTGATAGTGATATTGAAAATAACTGTGTGTACTTAAAATTTCTGAATATTAACTAAGTATATTGTTTAGCAATTGGTTTCTTATACGACTTTTATATAAATACGGATATCGAAAGACTTATTGAGAGAATTTCGTTTCATCGTCCATGAGATAAAACAGCATGCATAACTCCCCCTTTATTTATTACGTAAATTAATTTGAAGCCATTGATTTCTTCCAATTTGCCTCATTGAAAAATTAAATAATTTTTAAAACACAGTTGTCTCTAGAGGAAAAAAAACATTTGAAATGATTTCTTCCCGACATCGACAATTGACCTATATCGCCGTTTTTTTTGTCATTCCTTTCAGAGTTACAAAGAAGTTAACTTTTCATTGGAGTAACTACAATGAATAAGTTCAACTCGCTTGGTTACTGAAACAGCTAGTTACATTCCAAAAGTAGCAATCCTTAGATATTTCGAATTAATTCTGAAGTTTAACGAACAACAGAGGGGTATAATTAGGCAGTAAAATTAGTTAACCGACTTGAATAATTTGAAATGTACACAATACCACAATCCATAAAATCAATTATAGGTAGGTAGGTACATTGCTAACGCCTTTGGGAGCTTCATATTACAGGGAGAAGTAGAAATTAGTAAATTGAAATCAGATATAGAATTTTATGTAAAGTATTTAGTTTAACACCAATCAAATAACAAATTCAAATACTGTGATTTGTTGCCACAAGTATGTAACAAGCATAATTTAGTATTCAGGCAGATACACCGAGGAGTAAAAAAGTTAAGACATTTTAAAAACATGCAAAGTGTCGCAAATGACGCACTCTAATTCGTCTCCCCCAAGAAAACCTGCGGTTCCCAAAATTTGTGCAACATTTAAACATAATGAAAACAAATAACAAATTTATTGCTGTGACGCACTGTATCTTTTAAAGTATCAACTTTTGGACTAAAATAAGTTTGGTTAAATCCTAAGTTTGGTTAAATCCTAATATTTTAGTGTGTAGAATCCGCTGCTGCTCCATGTACCATTAGTAAAGGGACACTCTGTATATTACTGCTGGTGAAAACAAGGCAGTTTTAACGATTTTTAACTTTTGTATATGGATGGATATTTGTCTGTTCTTTCATTATTAAAAAGTTATTTGTAATAGTATTTCTGTCAGTATTATTTAACGTTACATTATATTTTAAACAAGCTTTATTTATGAATTGCAACTGTTCAGTTTTGTTCACAAATCAGGTGATTATTCCGCGCGCTGTAAAACCTAAAGCTTGTTACACACGTTCATGCAAATCACTCGACTTGGCATGGATAAGTTAGGTTAAATACCGTCTGCATTAGTTGGTTTATTCTACACAAAGAGCATTCGAATTAATTTGCCAAAGAATTGTGTTTTCTCTATAAATTATATTACTAGGTATTTATGTTCTTCATAAACCAAAGGTTGGGTTCCTTATTTATTTAATATCAACTATTTTTTATATTTTGAAAATTTTGCACATCGTCAATTCGTCGTTTACTTTTATCTAGTAACTCTAAAATAAATTTTGGTCATAAGAAGCAAAGAGAAAGTCAAAATAAAAGTAGAATAAATTATATCTGCATAATAACCTCCTCAAGAAAAGCCTTTCGGCAAGAACTTGGAACAAGTAACAATTTCTTTAATTGGAAATAATGATAACCGTCTTGTGTTACCCATCGTGCATCACACCAAAATGTTTTTGAGAAAAACTTTCAAAATTGCTAGGTTAAGGCCTTAGGGACGTAATCTTATTTTAGTACAAATCCCGTATGTAGGCTTATAACTTTTTAATTGTCCTGTACAAGTATCTTTCTTATTTTAAGAGTTACAGAAATGATTAAATAGGCACAAATGTGCAGAATTTTATGGCTATTACGGATTCGTTTTTAAGAAAATTCCAAATAGTTCCGAAGATATTCGATGAAAATCGATTTTTTGGTCGCATTTCACTTATTTTTCAAAATTTTGGAACAAAAATGTGTAGTCTGATATTAAACGATTTGATGAATTGATTTTTGCTCTCAGTATTACTTAGTTAACTTTTGTTTTTCTTACGGACGCTATATTGACTTTTTACCTCATTAGAAGAAAAGGAAAAATCTCTAAAACGATTTATGATTTATGGGGTTGCAACTGGAATACTATAAAAATATGTTGCGGTTCAAAAAATACTATGAATTGGAAAGTAAAACATAATATTTGATGTGTGATAATCAGGAGGGTCTGTGAGGTAATTAGTATAAAAGGGGTTCCAGGCAATGCATGTTACAAACACGATATCAGGGTATTTCGCGTAGGTAGCTCGTGGCAGCCAACTTGGCCAAACGTTCGTCGTTCGTTTATTTTCACTTCGTATACCTTCGGCACAGCTTTCATCTGATTCATTAGCGTTTTAGAAGGGTTTCCTGCGGTTTTGAGTTTAGTTGACAACACGCTACCAGGATGTTATGTAATTTATATGCGCAATGGGGTTTATATAAAACAAATGGTATCTACTGGACACAAGCTTAAAGGTACTAAAAATAGAACTGCTATAGTCACTTTAAAGTAAGTTCCTCGTGATGCATTATTCGTCATTTGATGTAGAACACTCACACTTTCCGGAAAACCTAACCTGATTCCTCGTTATCAGCTAGTTGTGGCATTAGTAATGCAGAAATATTTAACCTATACTACGAAGTAATGTTTTAAATATAAAAATCAACGCACTCTTTTAGTATAAACAGTGGTTAAAGAAAATATAAATATTTTTATTTCTAAACCTTCTGCTGAAACGATTACCTTCAGAACGTATTCAAATAGGTACCTTTGAAATGTTTAACAAATGGCGCAATTACTTTCAACTTTAATAAATTTTCAATATACCGCATCTTCATTTACTAGGCCACAATAATGTTTAGCACGAAATAATTACATGGAAAGCAATTATTATATGAATTTGATTTTGCATCGTAAAATAAAAATGAGATTGAGCGCTAATTCAATTTTTATTCATATGACAGTGGCGGAGATTTTAGGATTGCTTGAGGTTCTTTTGCTTCTAATTTATACACTGGGAAAACTGGCATTTTGAAAGCAATGTTTTCAACACAAAAAGGTACCCGTCTTCAAAAGCTCTAACACGAACCGTTTCAAGATAAATGGCGTTTTATGCTGAAAGAAAGTGGTAACATCGTAAAAAAAATCACAACAGTTGTTGAAACTAGCCTCCAGCTACGGTATTGCAAGCAAGCTTCCAGTTTCCTGGTCTGAGTGACTGACGTACCCGTTCGAAAATGCCCGGAGTGTTATGGATTGTATTATGATACACCCTGTATATTAGTGACTTTAGCATTTGAAAGTTAATACTATACTGTCAATTTTTGTACTTTTTACGTAACCATTAACTAAACGCTATTAAAGTAAGATAAGCTTTTTCGTTAACTTTTCTGTTTTATAAAGCATGTCAATTCTCGACCACTTTTTTATGTAAATGGTAATAAAAATTTGCCGTTGAAACTTTTAAACAGATTTCACTAAGATTTTCACATTTATTGAAAATATTCACAGCAAAAAATATAGAGCAAATGAATCAACACTACATACAACAACAATAAATAAGTAAATAACTCCCCTATTTCAATTAATCGACTTCCTTTTACAATAAATAAGTAAATAACTCCCCTATATCAATTAATCGACTTCCTTTTTCAACCAAAGAGCATATTTTTGACTTATTAAAATTTTTTGAAAGTATTTGAATCAGCTTTACGAACAAATAATAATACAAAAGTGGAAAAATGGAAAAAGAAAATTAGTAGATTCAAAGCAACAGTAATAAATAATGGGAAAACGTTTTATATACCTACAGCTTCATTTTCAATTGTCAAGATTGTATTTCGCTATAAATCTTATATATAATATTATTGTTTTCGTACCTAATAGGAATTACAAAATGCTGGTCAAAAATTAACGTCTAATTTCGAGTTTGTTGTTTACAAAAAAATTTCACAAGGCATAAGTTTTAATTAAAACTAACAAATTTAGGAACATGGTTTGGTATTACAATAATTATCTTTCATCCAACACACCAGTAAAAATTATGTAACTAAAGTACCTCTGAAAGTGAAACAGCTGAACTTAAACGTTAAAATTATGTCTTGTTATTTCGCAAATTTCCTGGATGATTAAGTTACTAAAAAAAATACCGGAATAATTTCTAGTGCCTCTACTTTGTCTCTACACTGAGATATTCAGATAATTCCAGGATTCTGTTTATTTATGAGTCTGTAGTATAGTCTTTCCGATCTCAATTGAAGAACCAAGAGGATGGCAGTATGTACCAGGTTCGGTCGCTAACGCAGCAACTCGGAATTGAAATATTTGAAAAACTTCACATATTTATTTAGCCGTACCCATATACAGGTCTGATCGAACTAAACGTGGAAACGGTAGAAATGTTTACGCGCAGTTGAAGAATACGCGCGCGGACAAACGGCGTATAACACAGCCGCACTGGGCGACTGGGCAATAAATTTCA